CTTTTTAAGGCCTTAATTTGTGTGAGGGAGGATTAAGACTTTTTAAGACCCACAGAAACCCTGTTTTTACAACCAAAAACGTTCTGACAACAGAACCTTTTCTTTAAAATCTATTTTGATTAAAGTCTTGATCGTCTTTTCTTCCCTATTGTGATATTATCAGAGTGAAACGGCTTCTTGAAAGAGAAAAACAAATTAAGGCGGGTCCATGGGGGAACTGATTGGATGGTTGTGGTTTGCTATTGGTGGATCTCATGTGAGTGACAGGTTGCCCCGCCCTCGCGCCAGTAAAAACGTCATCAGAGAAGAAATGTTGCTGCAAGAGGGAGGGGAATTATTTAGATTAAAGATTACGAGGGCACATAAATATATATAAAAAATCATTTATAATAAATCCTGCAACATTCCATAAAAAAGAATGGTCAGCTTTGATTGCATGGTAACTTTACAGGGTGACATCGGTTTCTGAAACATGATAACGGTGCATCATACATGTATCTATTATGCACCGTTTGTATGCACACAGCCATCCCTGCTTGTTAGTTTTTTGTGTGTGTTTTTTACAGTCTATGGTTTTAACATTAATTAATGTCTTTTATTGGGTTTATTTTTTACAACCACAAACTTACGTTCCGAGAACCAGGACTGTTTCTTTGAAATCTATGTCTTCAAGCACACTGGACTAAAACGTGTCAAAAGACTGCCAGCTAGGTAACATGCATGAACATCAAACGTATTCTATATTACCTGCGAATGCATTCGGTCACCACATCATACTGTCCGATAGAGCAGGCGGTGTGGAGATCCAGCGGCACGTTGAGCTCCTCCGGGCCGATCAGAGCATCTCCACCGTCCGCCAGCCACACGGACAGACTCGCGCCCAACTGATCCGACTCACTGCTGGCTTCGTCGCTCAGTTCAGACATACTCCTCTGCAAACGAGCTTTGATATTTACACTATGTATATGTTATTATTTATTTGAACTCTCTACAAATAATTTGCAGTTTATTCAGTGAAATTATATTCCGTTATTTGGTCTCGGACATTTAAAGGGCTAATCTCCGTGCATCAATTCAACTCAATTATGCTACCTCATACTACTATCCATATTCATATTATGTTTATAGCATGGTAATGATGCAAAAATTTAGTTAAACCAAACACTTAATGTAACGTAAATGAAAACTTTTTACAACAACAACAGTTAATGCCATAACCGCATAACCCTGCAACTAAATAAAGCACCCGAAAACTTAAAAGCTTACAAACCTTTAATTAATTAAACGTTGCAATTTTCAAAGTTTTTATCAGAAATCACAACAGCAGCGGCAACTCAAAGGAAGTTTTGTGTTCCAACCGGGCAGTGTTGTTGAATATGTAGTATGGAGCACACTGGGAGTTGTAGTCTTTTGTTGGTTTCCCATAATACAGTATGAACGGCAAGTGCGCAATGTAGGACTGCATATCCCATGAGCCTCTGCTCCAGCACTGATATTTTACGTGCTTGACGACTTCAGACAGCAACACGTTTGTTGATAAACTGCAAAGGAATTTTACACATAAAATTAAAGGTTTGTTTTCACGAAAAGCGTTGACTTGAGGTGAAATTACGCACTTAAAATAAGCTGATAATTCTAATGTAACGTTAAGCCTTTAAAATACGTTGCCATAGCATCTTAGACTACGTCAACACGCTGCCGCCGATATAATAGTATTTGTTAAAGAAAAAGGGTACATATAATAAATTATATATATATATATATATATATATATATATATATATAATACATATTATATACAAATATATAGTATTAAACTTTTCACACAAAGTGAGCAAAGCTTTGGTTGTATTCACTTTAACTGCATTTTTTTCCATAACGTTAGTTGTTTTCAATGGCTTGTACAACGTAAAATATGATTAGCAATATTTTATTCTTAACGAATTTCATAAAGAATGTACAGTAAAATCATGCAATAGAAGTATCACGTGTCTACTTAAGGCACAAATCCTGCTGGTTGATGTTAATGGGTAGAGTCACAAATTGAAGTTGAAGCAAAACTCTTCATGTGTTTTAGTGAAAACAAAAGGTTTTGTGCCGTGATCAGTCTCTGTGTGTTCAGTTGTCTCCCGGGGCCCTTGCAGGGTGTGCGTCTCTTGAGATTGATCTGTTTTGTCTGTGGGTTGTGTGTTCCTCTCAGCTCTCCGGTGGAACACTGGTTTGCACTCAGAGACAGTGGTGACCCGGGCCGAGGTCATTGCTATGGGGACAGAGACAGCAATTTTATACCATAAGGTCAGGGGGTTTTCAGGGGGGGGGGGGTTAGTGAACAAGTTTAGGTGAAAAAAAATTAATAAAAAAAATATATAATTACCTAAATAGATTAATGTAAAAAATAAAATAACAAAACTGCTTCAAATAAATAAACAATTATTAAAGCAGGGCTGCCAACTTCTGAGTTCAGCTTAGAGTGAGATTTATAGTATTGACACAAATTTCACAATTTGATACGATTCATAAGCTTGTGATTTGATTCCGATCTCGATTTCAATTAGATTCAATTTCATTTCGATACTGTATATCAGGTTACAGTACATGTTATTTTTTCTCAAGGAAAAAATATGATGATATGATGAGAGAATTTTCATTTTTGGGTGAACTATCCCTTTACTATTAACAACAGATTTGTATACAATTGCAAGTCAGTTTTTATAATAATAATGTTATAATAATAACCTTTTAGTGATATAAGGAATGTAATATAGTGCGTTGTTTTTTGCAAAATGATCCTTTCTAGAGTTCATATTTCTATCTAATCTTTCTAACATACTATGGACACTGAGTGGCTTTTCCTGAGGTAAATGTAAAGTTACGTTACATTGTTTACAAGCTGTTTTATTGACGTCTTTCCGGCGTTGAAACACTGACTGAGCGAATACATGAGACATTTCAATAAGTTGTAGTTTCTTTCAGAATACCTTCTTATGTTCATGTTTATTTTGTGCTATAACTATAGAAAAGAGGAAGAGATGGGCACTACAGCGATCTCTCACACCACATTAAAGAGCACATTTATCGTTTGATAAATAATAATAAAACGTATTTTATATCAAAAGTAAACTGCTCTGTCTTCTCTATCAGTAAGTTGTCAGTGTCCGCTTTGCTCCTCGATGTATTTTGAGAGTTGACAGCCCTGTTAAAGTTAATAAACAGTAAATGGTGAAATAAATAATAACTAACAGCACAGTACTACAGTAAACAGATAAAAACCCATAATAGAAACTAAATATTTAAATTAGGTCTTTATACATGAAAATATCTGGGTCCCTCACACAAGGATATTTGGGGGTCCATTTGTGGCATGTAAAAGATTAAAAACCCCTGTTGTAAAAAAGGTATAAATATATAAATGTAGATTTATGCTGCTGCCTTACATGACTGTATGAGCTTGAACTGTCTGGCTTTTTCCTCTTCGATCTTCTTCCTGTAGTCTCCTGAGATCGCTCGCATTACCTGCCTCTTCTTCACCAAAGGAGCTTTGGAGCTTCGTAAAGTCTTCAGAGCACGACTTGCTTCTTCCCCTGAACAGAGACATATAGGCATGTTAACGCCATGTCGTAATTACCGTAAAAAGCGTTCATGTTTTACATCTTGTAATGCCAGCTACAGACTGTGTGATTTCAGCAATCCTACAAGATCATTACAAATCACACTGTACGACATGTATGTAGACTGTACGATTATGAACTATTGAATCATAGGCTACGACACTAGTTAGTATAGAAGAATAAAACGTCATCGGCATGTGCTCGTGGTAAACAAATAGAACAAGATGAATCGCACTTTGGCAATTTTGTTTTTTTATGCGTGCTGAAAAAGAGGAGGAAGCGAAAGAGGAGAATATGGACGCGGTCACTGCTAGGAAAAAGAGGCCAAATTGGCATGCTATTTTGTAAATAGAGCTTGAGGTATAAGTGGTTTTAAGTTTTAGCGCCATGTCGCGTTGATCAATACACCGTTTCATGTTGCAGCATTTTTATTGGCTAGTCAGTAGACGTAGGTCGTAGCAGCAAACACACAGAGATGATCATGCTGAATTTATGATACTCTCAGGAAATTATCGCAGACTATCTTTGGTGGCGAGACCGTGACAACGCCGTCTTTGAAACGCTCTCACTGTACGATATAGGACCATCGTTTAGGAACCACGAACACAGAAATCACCACGATTGGTCATCTTTCATCTGGGACAGCACACAATACTGTGTGTATCGAGCACACATGTGTATCAAGCATAAGATGGGAATTTCTGAGATCACCTACTCGTACCACGTGACCGCTGTACCGCCTGACTGCTGCAGATTCATTTAGGTCGTTCATAGTGGTGCTGTAGGAACGTATAATTCCCAGTCCGACAATCTCGAAATTACAGTAATTACGAGTCCGACATGGCGTGAACGCAGCATATGCATAGATAGAAGTCCAGTATTTTTGTCCAAAGTTTGTGTAAGTATATGTATATATATAGATGTTGTATTTATAGTGTTGACAGTCACACTCACTTTGTTTGCTGGATGTTTTTTGAGTTCTCAGGCCCAGCTCGAGCTGTTCGATGCACCAGTCCAGCTCTCGATTCAGCTGCTCATCAGGAGTCTAACACACACACAGTTATAAAGTCAACTTATTTATTGCTTTACCACAGCTTATACATGCAAACACACTGATAAATAATGTATATATGAAGTATATGTAAATATCATGTACATTTTGTTTTGTTTTCTACATGGTCCTTGATGATGTGTGCATGCTCAATTTTAAAAGCATGCAATTGTGTATGTGCTTACTAATTCTGTGGTCTCTTGTTTAGATGTTTCCTCAGCTGTGCTTTTTATTCCTTTCTGCTGACTGTCTTTCCCGTCAGCTGCTGTTTTCTTCTTCTTCTTCTTGTGTTTTTTAACACTGGCAGGAGCCTCAGAGCTTTGGGCTGCTGTTTTGGGGTCCAGCACTGTGTCAGTATCCACCTCTCCACTCTTACCATCCGTGCTTTTCTCATTTCCCAGCATTCTGGGTGTTCCTGGAAAGCATACACAAATTGAGAGCATTTATCTGGATGTTACTAAGCCATATTGTTTAATAAAAAAATAAAAGTCGTCAAAATTACACGTATATTCAATAAATTCACCTTGAATGGTTTATGGAAATCTTACCTGTTCCATTTGACTCCTCTGTCATAGCTGGAGTTTTAATCTTCTGAAACCCAAATTCGTAGTCTATACACAAACGATCAACTATCAAGTGTGCAGCACTTAAGGAAAAACAAAAATCGAACAGAAATGTTTGAGTCAGTTAATTACTTCTGTTCTGAATTTTACAAATTTTAGTTACTCATGAGCATAGACTGTAAAAAAAGGGCTCATTTCACATATGTGTGCACCAATCAAAGGGTTCCGCCGATAACAAATTCGCTATTCTAGAGGTTCCTACTGCAGCGTGATATAATTTACAATGGTAACACAAAGACTGCACTAAAAAACTAGTTGATCTCAAAAGCATTTACCTTCATTGTTTTCAGGGCAACTATTGTTGCAATAATGTATCAATAATATTTTTTAGTAGTTATTATTAAAAGGAACCGTAAGGGACGGTTGTTCTTACAAGATGGTTATGTAATCGACAACAGCAGGACTAGAAATGAAAAGCTTTTTAAAAGCATGTAACGCCGATGTTTCACGAAGATTGTTGATAAACAGTCATGAAGCCATTGGAAACAGTTAACCGTTTAAACAATCTGAATTCATCTGCAGAAACAAAACGAAAAAGGGTTTTAACAATTACATTAAAATCGCGCTATAACTATTATAAATAAATACTAAAGAAGGGTAAAATCTCCCCCTCGGCCTTTCAGCCAATGAGAGACTGGGTGGGCGTGGCTTAACGCGCGCACAGACGTCAGTGCCTGTATAAATATAGGGCAGATCGCGTTGCGCGTGACCGACGTTCCTTGTTTTGGGTTTGACGGATTAACCGAAACAAAAAATCGTAAGTATCGTTAACATTCGGTCTTTAACTAAAGATCACCTATCGTATCGTGAATTTAACACACTAAAGATCGTATGTATACAATTTTTTAGAACACCGGCCATCTTTCAGTCTGTTTTCGGTGTTTGAATTCGCAAGCGGCGGTTTTAGATCATTTTTTGTCGCGGTAGCAACAAGCTAAGCTAACGAGCGTGAGTTCATATTTACTTGCGCTTTAGTTTAGAAGTTTTTTCGCTATTTTAACATTAAGTATGTGCTTTTAGTACGTAATCTAACAACACGTGTCGTTTTTCATTTAAACACTTTTATATGGAGTTACTGAATTGTCGGTGTTAGACAAAGAGAAGGCTATAATTGGTGTTCTTGGGCGCCATGTTACACATAAAGGCAGAAACGTGTCTGTGTCTCATCCTGAGATGGTGGACTTCACTACTGCATAAATCCGAGCTTCTACATTTCAATTTGCCGGTCGTTTCTCATCTCTTTCGCTAAAATTGAAGCGGACATGGCGTATTTGTAGTACTAGTTGCTGAATGGTTGAATGAAACCGATTACCGTTGAAGATTTTTGCCTTCAGGCAATGTGTGTGTGTTGAATGGGACTCGGTTATGTGTGTGCGTGTGTGACCCAGTGTCCCACTGTGAGTTCAGCTTATTGTTTCGCTACAACACGCGTTTCTACCTTATTTATCTAAATTAATCTGCACGCAAATTAATTATTAAAATCCTTACGTTTATAAAATTATACATTTTTATTTTGCCAGCTTTAAGGTACACGTTTATGTTTGATCTCCTAAATGGCGCCAGCAAGTTGTACATTAGCATATAGGGTATTGCTAATTTGCTATGGTCCTTTCCTAAACATTAAGTTCTTTACTGCATGACTTTATTATGGGCGGGACCGAAAGAGTTTTGTTGTTGATTACGTCACTGCATGCGGAATCCCCCGCGGCTGCTGTTCTTATCGGCTCTTGTTTCTCTTTAGACCGCTACATTAGAGTGCCATGGCACGTACTAAACAGACTGCCCGTAAATCCACCGGTGGTAAAGCCCCCAGGAAGCAGCTGGCCACCAAAGCGGCCAGGAAGAGTGCGCCGTCTACAGGTGGAGTCAAGAAGCCCCACAGATACCGGTGAGAAACACAAGTTGTTTATACATGCACGTGTTTGTATATGTAAACATTTTTATGCATGTACGTTTATTCACATGTGTTTCATGATTATTCATTTATTATACACTTGCATGCATTGTGTAATATATTGTTTGTATATGCATGTATGCTTTATGTATATAGTGCATATTATGTACATGTCAATTGCATATAATTTTTTACATGCATATTGCGTAATGTGTGTATAATGGTACTTTGCATTTTTTTAAATCCCAACAGCTACTAAATGCATTTTTTTCTGCCTTTCCCCCTAGTCCAGGAACTGTGGCTCTTCGTGAGATCCGTCGGTACCAGAAGTCCACCGAGTTGCTGATCCGCAAGCTTCCGTTCCAGCGTCTGGTTCGTGAGATTGCTCAGGATTTCAAGACCGACTTGCGTTTCCAGAGCGCTGCCATTGGTGCCCTGCAGGTGTGTTTTGTAGTTCTCTACCTAATGCAGCAGATCGAAACCTTTTTGTCCACTTTTTGACCGCCCCCTGTACTCCATTTCTACCCAATAAAATATTTTAGGGCTTGGCATAACTACAAAGATGTATATTTATTAAAATAACCAAATATTTAGATTTTTAGTTGTTTTAGCTCATTTTAATTTAGTTTGAGGCTCTCCTGGTTGAGATCCACTGACCTAATACTTTTTTTTTTTTTTTTGTCTCTCCTAATAATGTTTTGCCTTTGAATTGTAGGAGGCAAGCGAAGCATATCTGGTGGGTCTGTTTGAGGACACTAACTTGTGCGCCATCCATGCCAAACGTGTCACCATCATGCCCAAAGACATCCAGTTGGCTCGTCGAATCCGTGGAGAGCGTGCTTAAACTTTACCATTTACTCAACTCTATTTTTGTGTGTGGAGGAAGATATGAGGGATGGGTTTGTTGTGTGGGTGGGTCGGGTGGGAGGGGCATTGGGGTTCTTACGCTCTTGACTATAAATGCCTGTGTAGTTTAAGTTTATTTTTTGTATTTTTTGGTAGTTGCGGTAGGGGAGGGGTATCTTGTGGTTAAAGTTGATAGTAGGGGGGGGCAGCGTCAGAACATTCCGGGAGCTCCTCAGGGTTTTAAAGTTTGTATTTTAGACTTTCATATACCTCTGCCTAGTCTGCATGCTTCATGATGAATTAGAATGTCCATTTGATTTCTATCGTTATTATATTGGGTTTCTCTTCTATTGTGGCCATTTGGTTGTAAATAAACTTTCCACTACCTCAATCTTGCTGCTGCTCATTTTGTCTTCAGTTGGGTTTCACTTGTCCGTCTTTTTTTTTCTTTTGCCATATTTTTGAAGTTTGAGGCATCTAGATCAAGAAGAACTTTTGTCCTGTAGGGTCACTGTCCTGCAGAGTTTAGCTCTAACCCTGATAACTCACCTTCCTATAGCTTTTCTAGTAATCCTGAAGACCTTGAATGGCTTGTTCAGGTGGGATTACAAAAGTTGGCCAAAGTTGCACTTCTGTATCTAGATGCTTATGTCCACAAAGCTCCCATTTTAAAATTAATACGAGTTTACTTGAGGACTTGACGCCCTCTAGGACCCGAAAATGCTACCTTGTAGACTTGGCTATGTTGTCAAAGTAAAAAGGATGTCATTTATTTCAATGGGAAGATTGAAATTTAAACTAAAACATGACTTAAACCCATTTAGTTCGATGTAATTTACTCCAGGTTTCACAGATGAGGCCTTGTCCCAGAATAAAATGCATGTTTTAAAGCAACTTGTATATCAAAGTCAGAGCCATTGTTTTGTCAAGATGCACACCAGTAATGTTTTTTTCTAAAGCACCTTTATGAAAGCTATTTAAATGTCTTAATTGAACTAAATCCTGCCTTAATCCAAACCCTGTCTGTGAAACCAGGCCTTAAAGTAAAAACCCAACTACTAAACCAAGTTTACACGCTTTATTATACAGATCAAGTATTAGTTTGTTATACAGATCATTACTTTATGAAGACACATTCACAATGTGTTCCATCATGAGTTTCCCTGATCCATAAATCAGCAGTCACATCACAATTGCAATTCAGAAGTTTCTCCATTAGGCTTCATATCTGACTTTTCAATATAAACTTCACTGCACTCGTAGTGTGGACGGTCCGTTTGATATTTCAACGAATTTGATTTCCAACTCTTTGGAGAAAGCATTTTTACTTCTGAAGGCATCATTAAATGATAAATAAACATCACAAATGCAAAATGTCTCTTAAGCCACTATGATGGTTTGTTTTTGACAGCGACTTCCTCCTGTTCATCATCGGACAGCAGTCCTGGTAAATGTTCATACAGGTTTTTCTCCAGAGACTCGTCCACCTCGGTCTCTTTCCTGAATGCGCACCAGAGGAGGAAGCCCATTCCAAAGAGGCTGATGGGTACAACTTTCCACCAGGGACGCTGGTAATTGCTGCCCAGGGAACGGTCCACATTCCAGCTTCGGTGGCTGGCTTTGCTGGTTGAGAACTTGATGGGCTGTGATATTACTTCTTCATCATCATCATCATCATCCGGAGGTTTTCTGGACTTTGCATAAAGCTGTGATGTAATGGACAGCATCCTTGTGGCACATGGTCTACAGGTAGAAAAGTAATGAACATTTAATAAAACATTACTTTTATAGATCTGCTTAAATATCTCACCACTGATGGTGGTGATATCCCTCTGGCCAAGGTCAGCTCAATTTAAGAGATCATAAAAGCGTGTTTAACAAAAAAAAAAGAAAGAAAATTGTTTAAGAAATACATTTCAATGATCAACAAAAATGTCTTAATTAACTAAATGTTTGTCTTCATTAATGTCCAACGCAGCACAAACCCTATCGAGGTGAATGGTTGTTATTTCATAACCTATACAAGGACAAAATATTCACTTGCCTTAAATTCACATTCCTTCGGCTTGTAAAAACATTGTGACTTAAAGAAATTCGTGATAAATTAAAGCAGGCTTTAGACATCTTGAGAGCTTCTTCATATCAGACGTAACTCTCCCAGGTCATGTAACGAGTGCTTCTGTAAATTCCACCCGGAAGGAAACTACAATTAACTGAAATGTAGTTCCGCTTTGATTTTTGGACGTTTTAAGAGAATAGTTTGTCTAATCACTTCAAATATACCATAGGGCTGCTCATAATACACATATTATAAAAACGTCATCGTATTCAAATAAAGTGTAAATGTAATAAAGTGTATTCTAAGATTACGTGACAGAGAATTTAAGGACTACATTACCCAGAGCTCTGAGTATCAACCAATCAGCAATGCATATTTTGCATAGCTCCAGGAACGTCATCACGCGTGGTCTAGATTCCGTTTTCATGGCGCTGCCCGTTCACACGTGAATCTGATCACGCATTGGAAGATTTTTGTTTGGCTTGTAAGTAAACGTAACACGCAACTATTAACTTTCTTCGACTAGTAGATTAGTTTGTGTGTGCTGGGTGGTTTAAATTGTATGAATGCATTTCTGCTGCTATCTTAGTATACGATTAAGTCATAATTTACCTAAACAACATCGTATTTGTGTATCTAAGCCTATCTATTTTTACTTACAGTTTGATATATGTTTGGATTAATTTGGTTTATATGCACTATTGTTGAAAAGTTTGGGGGTGGTATGGTTTATTAAAGGTTTTTGAAAGAAGGCTCACTAAATCTGCATTTATTTACAGTAAACACAGTAATAATGTGAGTGACACAATTTAAAATAACTTGAATATGTTTTTAAATGTAATTTATTCCTGTGATTTTCAGCATCATTGCTCCAGTCTTCAGTGTCACATGATCCTTCAGAAATCATTCTAATATGCTGATTTGCTGCACATTTCTGATTATTATAATAAATGTTGAATACAGTTGTGCTGCTTAATATTTTTGTGGCAACCATGATACATTTTTTCAGGATTATTTGCTGAATAGAAAGTTCAAAAGAACAGTGTATATTTGAAAATAGAGATCTTTTGTAACATTATAAATGTCTGTCACTTTTGTGACAAATTATACACTTTTGTACAGTAGTGTATGTTGTAATCAAATCCAAATTAACATGTGCTATTCTTTTCCACTCAGATCTGACACCATGACGAAGAGTCAAGCTCTTGTACTTCAGTTAGATTCTCACAAGAAAAAGAAACTCAAACTCAATGTAGAAGAAATCACATGTGTACAAGATGAGAGAAAGGAGGAGATGAATGGAAAGAAGAAAAAGAAGAAGAGAAAGGCCGACGATGAGGTGTGTGCCGTGGTTATAATAGTACTCTATGATTTGACTGTGGATCTAATAACAAATGTTATTGATATGGTTGTTTAAATTAATGTTAGAAGCTTACTCTGCGTTTAATATTGTGCACTGACTATTTTTATTTGTTTTTTTTTAAATGAAAGGGGCTTGAAACAAGTACACAATTAAATGGAGATCATGAAGAGAATATACGCAAGAAGAAGAAAAAGAAGTCTGAAGTGAGTGAAAGGGATTTTCCTCTTTAAAGTATGTATTATATGACTGCATATGAATATACACTGCTTATGTGAAACTAAATGTAAAAAAAAATCAGGATGAAAAAAATCCATCTATTTGAGGTAAAATCACCATATAGTTTGTGTACATATATATATATATATATATATATATATATATATATATATATATATATATATATATATATATATATATATATATATATATTAGAGCTGCATGATTCTGGATAAATCGAGTGTCACAATTTAGTTTGTTGTCATGATTTTGACAACTATACGAAATAAAATGTAATTTACTAGAGTTTCTGCCAAAATATAAATTGCTGCAGTCTATTTAAAAAATATTTAAATAATTAGATTAACCTTAGATTAAAAAAAAATCAGTTTGAATGAATGATTCAATGACTTGCTCATAAAGACTTCACTTGTTTCATTACTGGACGAATCAGTGTTTTTGAACAAATCTCCTGAATGATTCAATGACAAATAAATATATTTTTATCAGTCTCTTGTTATAGTTGATACAATACTGATGCGGTTGAAAAATATATTTGTGAAGCCGTTTCATATATTTATGTAAATATAAATATAAAAATATATTTGTGAAGCCGTTTCATATATTTACATGACTACTGCTCTCTCTGGATCAGCGGCGGATCTGAATGTTCGATGTGATCATACATGTCAAAGGTTTAATAGACTTGATCGCATATATATATATATATACAATCTCTCTTGTGTGTATGTTTTCAGGTTTGTGTTCCTGTAGAAAACATCACAGAGGAACCGCAGGATACTGAACCGATGGAGGAAACACACAAGCAGGAAGATCACATGAAGAAGAAGAAGAAGAAAAAGAAACAGAAGGTAATGAGAAATACTTTGCTTTTATATTTTATGTTTGTCAAAGTTTTGGGATGATGGGAAATGCTGTGAAGAGAGTTGATGCTGAATACTTGTGCTGTAAATGCACGAATCTCTTTATTATAACGACACATAAGCGTTCATATTTTTTATTATTTATGAAATGGTCCTCAACTCCAACAGTGTTTTGCATTACGGCATGTATTACCATATTGGGTAACACTTTACAATAAGGTCTCATTTGTTAACATTAGTTATCATTAATACATTACTTAACATGAACTGTGAGCGATATATTTTTACAGCATTGGTTAACCTTCGTTAATATTACTTGATAAAACTACAGTTCATTGTTTGTCCATGTTAGTCACAGTGCATTAACTAATGTTAACAGATAAAAACAGTAATATTCTGAAATATTTTCTATTTTAATATTTTTAAAACACAATTTATTCCTGTGATCAAAGCTGAATTTTCAGTGTCACATGATCCTTCACAAATCATTCTAATATGCTGATTTGCTGCTCAAGAAACATTTCTGATTATTATCAATGTTGAAAACAGTTGTGCTGCTTAAAATTTTAGTTGAAACCATTAGAAAGATCGAAAGAACAGCCTTTATTTGGAATGTTTTGTATCAATATAAGTGTTTTTACTGTGATATTCAATCACTTTTTAGGCATCCTTGCTTAATATAAGTATTATTTTGTGTCAAAAAAAGTTTTTACAAAGATAGTGGGTAAAATCAAGAACTTGTCCTGTGTCATTACAACATGACTGTTTATCCCACTCTGTCACACACACACTCTCGCCCCTCCTCGCCGCTCCTGAGGTCACGCTCCTCCTCCTCCTTATTCTCATGCGAGCACGAATGGTGCGCGTTTGTGCAAGCGACGCATGGACAGGGTGGCGTTGCGCTCACATTCTGCGCGCACGTATGCAGGCAGTGCACGTGGTGCGCGACAAACACTTGCAGTTTCTGTCTGAACGTGTTTCCCAGCAGGCTGTAGACGAGCGGGTTCAGGCAGCTGTTGGCGCAGGCCGCCAAGGTCACCACGTGTCCCGTCAGCGGGTGGCGCTGCCACAACGTGTGGTTTCCTCTCCGCCGCGAGGCGTCAGTGTCGCCACTCAGGAGATGCACGCTGATGAAGACGTTCTCCGGAAGCCAGCACACAAAAAACACGCTCACGGCTGCGACGATCATGCGCAGGGCTTTGGTTCGCTGCGGCCTATCGGAGCGCAGAAGCACGCGTGCGATCAGGGTGTAGCAAACGCCCATCACGCAAAAAGGCAGGGCGAATCCCAGCGTCACCTCCAGCCATTGCACCTCGGCCACGCCCGCAAAACAGAAGCCACGCCCCCAGCCGTGACGCATGTGCGCTGTAGCGAATGGGATCAGCGTGCACAGGGTGGCCGCCGCCCAAATGGTCGCGCAAGCCCTACGGGCGACGCGCGAACGGTGCGAGGCGGAAACGTTTTCGGGTAGCGCGCGCGTGCTGAGGCCGGTCAGCGCAAGGCAACGGTCCAGACTCATCCAGGTGAGAGAGAACACACTGCTGTACATGTTGACCTGCAGGAAGAGCGCCATGCAGGAGCACAGCACGGCGTCGTCGTAGTAGTGCGCGCTCAGGTTGAACACCTCGATGAGCGAGTCCAGCACCAGCACCAGGTCGGCCAGAGCCAAATTAGTGAAGTAGAGGTCAGGGGTGCTCATCCGTTGACGAGGGTCAAAGTTCACCAGCAGAATCAGGATGTTACCCACGAGGCCGAGCGGGAAGAGCAGGACGGTGTAGATGCAGGAGAGGAGAAGGTTTATGGCGTAGGTGGAGTTCGTTTCGTTGACGTCAATAACCGGCCAGTGCAGGCTGGAGTGATTCGGTCGGACGGTGGGGTCAAAGGTCATCGGATCTTCCATCATCTTCCCTTCTATCACTTCCATTGTCACGTAGTGTGGAAATATGCTGGAGTTTTCTGCATTTTCTTCTCTTTTCAAGTACTAAAATGCACAGACACATGCACATTGATGTTAAACTACTCATCTTGATGCTTGTTTCAAAATATGTGTATTTAATAGTTGATGGTGAACAATACTTCTGCAGCATTTATTAATTATTTGTTAATGTTAAATGTAAAAATTATTAGTTAATCCATGGACTTTTTAGTTGCAGTCACATTTACTACAATATGCTTGGCGAAATCCAGCTATTCCAACAGGAATCCGTGCGATTGGGAGTTTTGCAAAAGGATGAAAATATTCCCCATGCAGATTTCACACACGTGAATGTCTCGCACTGACCAACAGAAAGCTGCTTAGTTTGACAGTACCTTCTATGCCAGCTGCGCTTTATACATCTCTACGCTATTTACAATAGACAATGGATTTGCCTGCAGAATTTTACTAATGTGCATTTCGCTGATTTTCTGTTTATTTTCACTAGTAATCCGCTGATAGTTTTAAATGAAATGGTCAAAATAATGATCTTACCGTGTGTTTTGTATTAGACTTTTATCCATATTTATTAAGTTGTCCTGGTTTGTTCTTGGATGCATGTGTATGTCCTTTAAGGTCATGGAGAAATAAATGTAGAAGTCAGACATTTGTTGTTCGTTTCTTTCTCCTTGGTTCTGCAGACGTTTCTCCTGGTGATTTCTCGCTGTCTCATGTACAAATACGTAAATACAGGAGAGCCAGGTTATACACGGACAATGGCCGCCTTTGTTTACCCCAAACAATATGATGGATAAATGCTCCACTAGCTCCTCTGAAGATATAAAGTTGCACAGTGAAGGAGAACTCGATTATTTGTGTGTGTGATGGGCAAATTCTCAAAACTAGAGAAATGTATTATTTTATATATATATAAAATAACAACTATTGTTTATTTTTGTTCTCCCTCAGTTATTTTAGACAAGGTTAAGTTTAGTGACACCAACAATAGGTCAATCTTTAAAAAAAAAAAAAAAAAAACTTAATAACTTACCTATATTAAAAAGTTTGTCTTGGCAACAAACTGAAATAAAATAAGTTGAAGTGCTAAAAATAACTAAAACTAGAAATCTTTTTTTTTTAAACAGTAAAATTACCAAAAGTTTAACTAATATTAAAACAAACCTGAAAATGTTAAAGTAAAAGCTAAAATATTCAAAATATGAAAAAAAAAATACTATAATGGTGTATAAATAATACTGGCTTCTATCTTAAACGTCTTTAACATTCACATTGTGTGTACACTTTAAAAAATGCTGGGTTGTTTTAACCCAATTTTGGGTCAAATATGGACAAACCCAGCCGTTGGGTTAAATTTTTATAATGCATTTTTTTTTAATGCAAAGTTTGGGTTTGTCCATTTTTGACCCAAAATTGGGTTAAAACAAAACTACCCCGGCTCTTATGATAAAAGCATCTGCTTTATGAATAAATGTTTTGTAAATGATATTTGAATATAATCATTCAGAAATTGTTTCTTAATTAAAATCAGGAATAAACTGAATTAATGTAATTAAGCAGTTCTATAAAACAAATGGCTTTTGGCTTTCTTTGCCATGTGTATACATTCAAAATTTTGGGGTCTGTAAGATATATAAAAAAAAAAAGAGTACTTGTATTCAACAATGACACATTAAATTGATCAAAAGTGACAGTAAAGACATTTATAATGTTATAAAAGACTTCTGTTTCAAATAAATGCTGTTCTTTAGATCTTTCTATTTATCAATGAATCTTGAAGCAATGTGGATTTTAAACGGCACATGATTTTTCAGAGTTCTGGAGATGTGAACACCTCAGTCCAGCAAGAACCGTCTGGAGTGGAGGATGAAAACGGCCTCGATGGAGAGGAAGAACTGAGTCCTGAGGAGAGACGAGTGCTGGAGAGGAAGTTGAAGAAGATTCTGAATAAGGAGGAGAAGAGGAAGCTGAAGGAAGAAGGCAAAAGCATAAAACCGGAGAAGGTCAAGACAAATGTTGCAGAGACGCAGGCGCTGGAATACCTCGCATGGTAGTACAAAAACACTTGTATATGTTTCCTTATTCTATCAGAGATTGTTAAATATTGTTTTAACTGATTTATTTTGTTTGTTAGTTGGTCTAAGAACCGAGAAGCGTGGAAGTTTAATAAATCCAGGCAAACGTGGTTATTGCAAAACATGTATGACAGCGTGAAGGTATGAGAAACACCAATCATCTACAGCTTTACACACTTTTTACAGTAATAAGACATGGAACACATGCTTTCCTACTAATCACAGGGATCATATTATTCTTTTTTGTGGCAAAAATCCATATGCATTTCTCTCTCTCTCAGGTGTCTGATGATCATTTTGAGATGCTGTTACCGTATATTGACGGTCTACAAGGACTGGCACGATCCTCCACACTGCAGAAAGCTGAAGCGATTGTGCGTTGGGAAGGACAAGCAGAAGAGGCCGATACAGCAGATGCTGAGAAGAGGCAAGGGAGAGCCAAACAGGTCGTCCAGATGCTGTGATGGACCCGTTCATTAAACAAAACATCAAAATTATACGTTTTCTGTCTCCGTGTGAATTTATACATTTTCACCCATTCAAATGAGTAGTCATAATGTCTTCGTTTGTAATGTAAAACTTGACATTCCATAAAATAAAATGATTACTTTGGTTTTAACCTGTAGCCTGTGTTGTTTTTTAATCATGTTTTAAAATGTAACTAGATAGGTCTTCTACCTAGAAGTAGATTTTTAAAAATATTTCACTAACAAAAAAAGTATTATACAACTTCCATGGTAGAACATTAATATTATTTTGCCTTATGTAAATACCATGGTACATGAATGTGCTAATCATTCTGATGCCATCGGTTCTTTTATGAGGTTTAAACTCATGGAACGTACACTGTTTGTTCCTAAATCTATAAGTCGTTCAGAAGAGAGTTTAAGGTTATTAACTGGGCACAGTGTAAACTTTTTTTTTTATTATCATAACGTTCAAATAATACATACCTTTAACGATTGGCATCACAGCTACCGCTTGTAACATTGCCCTACATTTCCCATAATGCCGTGCGTTGCACGTTCTTTTGACGTCACACGCATCTCGCCAGGTACAGAAGTCCATCGTGCAGAATGAAAACAACTTAAGCTTAATCTTCATTAACAACGTGGGAGCTGATCGTCAACGGATTCACATTTTGGGTAATGTAACTCTGAACTTTATTTCACGCTTCGTTGTGACACTTTTCCTCTCGGTCAACGGTTGCAAAATCACATCTTACTTTTAGTATGTGGATTTGTAGTTGTTCAACTGTTATTTGCTAATGCGGTGTGAGCAAAAGATGAGTTTTTACGACTTTTTGTGTTTCTTTAGGAGCATCATGGCAGAGAAACCTCAGCTGGTCAGTATTTCGCCAGAGGACATCGAGACTGATGAGTGTTTGCGCACATACACACACATCTACAGCCCTGATCTGCTCATGTAAGCTCAATAAACACCTTTGATTTTCATTTTTGCATTGGAAGTTTATATTAATAAATATATACATCTTTATGTATTTATTATTTCTATTTTTGTATTTATTTATGCACACACACACACACACACACACACACACACACACACACACACACACATATATATATATATATATATATGTGTGTGTGTGTGTGTGTATATATATATATATATACACAGTATATATAATACTTTTTATAATAATACTTTTTTGTGTGTTTGCCCAGTGATCAGGTTGCCTTTATAACCGGCGGAGGGTCAGGTATTGGATTTAGAATAGCAGAAGTTCTGATGCGGTGAGTTTTCAGTGATTTTCCACTAGTTTCTCACTGTCAACAACACATTGTCTATGACTGAACTTTTAATCTGACACTTTCACTCATGACTTACCTTTTATAATGTGACATTTATATATTGATCTTTAACCTTTGTGACCTTCGGTAACATGTAATCTTTTGCAAGCCTGCATCTTCAGATTCATTTGAATATGTTTTCTAATGTTCTTGCAAAAGTCATTGGAAGTTTATTTTGTTATTTATATATTTGTATTTCTATAATTATATTATATATTTCCTTTTCTTCCTATAACAATTCATTCAGGCATGGGTGTAACACGGTCATTGCCAGCAGAAATCTGGAGAAACTCTCTGAGGTACTGTCTCAACGAATCTCCAATAACTCATTTATGTAATTTCTTTGATGAAGAGTAATTAATATTTGTGTGTTTTAGGCATCGAAGAAGTTAACCAGGGCTACAGGCAAGCGATGTTTGCCGATAGTAATGGATGTGCGTCAACCAGAGACAATTACTGCTGCCGTGGATGAAACATTGAAGACATTTGGACGTGTTGACATACTTATTAACAGTAAGGCTTAAGTTAGAAGTTACCAGAGGTCAAACACAGTGCCTTAAGTTTAACAATAAAAAAAATTAATATAATGCCACAAACATACAGTTTATTACCAAAGAGATCTTGAGATAGATATGGACCAGCTAACAACACCCTCTGACCAAGTTTCTCTTTATCATTCTCTAATGTGATTACATAATATATTGTACCTAGTCTAGGCCGTCTACTAGTACTCTTACATCAGGTCTCCTTTTCCAGAAAAATTACATTTATCAATGTATCTTTAATGCAGTACTCAGGGTAATTATAGTATAGACATTTACTTCCATTACTGTCATATTAAAAAAACTTTCAATACAAGCATGCCTTAACATCATGTCATTGTTTTCTATATATATATATATACACTCACCGGCCACTTTATTAGGTACCCCATGCTAGTAACGGGTTGGACCCCCTTTTGCCTTCAGAACTGCCTCAATTCTTCGTGGCATAGATTCAACAATGTGCTGGAAGCATTCCTCAGGGAGTTTGGTCCATATTGACATGATGGCATCACACAGTTGCCGCAGATTTGTCGGCTGCACATCCATGATGCGAATCTCCCGTTCCACCACATCCCAAAGATGCTCTATTGGGTTGAGATCTGGTGACTGTGGAGGCCATTTTAGTACAGTGAACTCATTGTCATGTTCAAGAAACCAATTTGAAATGATTAGAGCTTTGTGACATGGTGGAAGTAGCCATCAGAGGATGGGTACATGGTGGCCATAAAGGGATGGACATGGTCAGAAACAATGCTCAGGTAGGCCGTGGCATTTAAACGATGCCCAATTGGCACTAAGGGGCCTAAAGTGTGCCAGGAAAACATCCCCCACACCATTACACCACCACCACCAGCCTGCACAGTGGTAACAAGGCATGATGGTTCCATGTTCTCATTCTGTTTACGCCAAATTCTGACTCTAACATCTGAATGTCTCAACAGAAATCGAGACTCATCAGACCAGGCAACATTTTTCCAGTCTTCAACTGTTCAATTTTGGTGAGCTCTTGCAAATTGTAGCCTCTTTTTCCTATTTGTAGTGGAGATGAGTGGTAACTGGTGGGGTCTTCTGCTGTTGTAGCCCATCCGCCTCAAGGTTGTGCGTGTTGTGGCTTCACAAATGCTTTGCTGCATACCTCGGTTGTAACGAGTGGTTATTTCAGTCACTGTTGCCCTTCTATCAGCTCGAACCAGTCTGGCCATTCTCCTCTGACCTCTGGCATCAACAAGGCATTTCCGCCCACAGAACTGCCGCTCACTGGATGTTTTTTCTTTTTCGGACCATTCTCTGTAAACCCTAGAGATGGTTGTGCGTGAAAATCCCAGTAGATTAGCAGTTTCTGAAATACTCAGACCAGCCCTTCTGGCACCAACAATCATGCCACGTTCAAAGTCACTCAAATCAACTTTCTTCCCCATACTGATGCTCGGTTTGAACTGCAGGAGATTGTCTTGACCATGTCTACATGCCTAAATGCACTGAGTTGCCGCCATGTGATTGGCTGCTTAGAAATTAAGTGTTAACGAGCAGTTGGACAGGTGTACCTAATAAAGTGGCCGGTGAGTGTATATATATATATATATATAAATATGCATGCATATGTTATTTATGTATGTTTTGTGGATTGTATTTGTTTTTTCTCAGATGCTGCAGGTAATTTCTTGTGCCCAGCGACATCCTTGTCATTTAACGCTTTCAAGACAGTAATGGAGATCGACACCATGGGAACTTTCAACGCTAGTAAAGTGGTGTTTGACAAATGGTTCAAGGTAAAGATGTACATTTCATTGACCTTTGCAGTACCAAGAATTTTTATTACTAAGATATCTTGCATCTTGGCTTTTTTCCTCACTTGTTTCTCACTTTGTGTCGATCAGTGATTTATAGTCAGTGTCTCATACTTTGTGGCTTTATTTTTCTCCCTCAGGATCATGGCGGCTCCATTGTCAACATTTCCGCCACACTGGGGTACAGAGGTCAGGCTCTCCAGGTGCATGCTGGGTCAGCAAAGGCTGCAAATGGTCAGTGTCCTTTTTTGGTTGATATTCTGGTATAAGTGCCTGTTTGAGTGCTTTATAAAGGGGTATGATTGCTTTTATAAATGTATTTAAATATTCTTGCACTAACAGTGTTACAACAATAAGACAACAATAGTATGCAGATTAATAAATCAAGGTAGTATGAACTTGAAGGGTGATGTTACTCCAAATCAAGGTGAATAAAAGCGTCTACTAAATTAAAAAATCTAAATTAAATAAAACCGTATTACATCTGGTGTTTAAAATGGCATGAAATCAAAATGACTCCCAATTATCTATTTATTTTAATTCATGTTGCAGGTCTTATTGTGAATGATTCATACATGCATATATTAAACAAAATAATAATTTTGACCCCATAATGTTGGTTGCAATATTTTTTCATGTTGACTGTTAAAGGGTAACGTTAGTTCACCCAAAAATGAAAATTCTGTCATTAATTACTCAGGGTTTACTTTTGGGGTGAACCGACCCTTTAAGGATATGAGATATTCTATAGGCTGAAAAAAATGGCTAATTATCTGCATATGTATGTGTGTTTGTAGATGCCATGACAAGGCACTTGGCGGTGGAGTGGGGCCCCAATGGTGTGAGGGTGAACACAGTGGCCCCAGGGCCCATCTCTGGCACAGAGGGATACCGTAGACTGGGTAAGACCAGTTGTGTGTGTAGCCAAATTTAAGTGTCTCTATTTTCGTCTTCACTATTTTATCCTCCTCTTCTTTCAGGTGGTTCTCATGCCGAGACTGCAGGGGCTTTCCGCGGCATCCCGTTGCAAAGAGCCGGCAATAAGACCGAGATTGCACATGCGGTTATTTTCCTGGCCAGCCGCGCTGCTTCATACGTCACTGGAACTATACTGGTCGCCGACGGAGGGGCGTGGCTCACCTCGGCCAATGACGTGGAACAGATGCTGGGTATTATCTCATCTCGCTCTGCAAAACTATGAACAGACAGCACCGCACACAGGTGTGTGTGTGCGTGAGGTAGAAGACAGGTGTTTTATACGAATGTTAACTAAAATAATTTAATATAATTATTCAAAAACTCAAACACAATTATGTGAATTACTTTTCCAAATTTGTGATCTGGTGAGCAAAATAAATTATATTTGCTAATAATTTTTCTGCCATTGTATGATTGGCCTGTGAATATGTGGGTAACGTCTTGGTATGAAGATCTTATTGTAACTTATTTTCCCTTGTGTTTCTAGGTTTTTGGTCTGCAGAGAAAAGAAAGGATAAATAGGATGACTAAAGTGGATGAAATAACCGGAATGGACCAGTTGTGATCAGGCCAACATCTCTATGAAGATATTATTGAAGCTCACAAAAACATGTACAGATTATTTTCACCCTCAAAAACCAAAGAAAAAAAAGAGAAATTATATTCTGCATAAAGAAAAATAAGCCTAATTTTAGGACCATTAAAAACTTTGACATTGTGTGACACTGTGTATTAAAATTAAGTAGATTTACACCCTAATTCTAATTTTCATAATGCTCTGTTATACTTTTTGAGTTTATTCTTATGTAAGTACAAATAATATTATGAATTATGAATGTTACAATTTTAATCCGATTCATTATTTTTTTTTTCTCATTCATGGTAATGAGAAAAAAGACTGCAGTTTATGCAAATATATTTTCAAATTTTCTTTTGATTTTGAGGTGATATATGAAATATGTGTTCTTGACCAAACTTTGAGTCACCTGGTATATTTACAGATACCTCTGTACTGTGCATTTTTATCACATAGCAGTTGTCATATGTTTCAATTATGTTTAACCACAAAGTATTAGTAATTATAATACATCAAAATGTCAATTTTACTTCTGATGGCATGAATAACCACTCTAGCAGCACTATGTAAATTAGTGCCTTTTTAATTTTCAGCTACAATACATTGTGAAGAAAGGTAAATAATGTATTATTATATACTTCACAGTTTTCATAATAAATCTTTCATAATGCTCATATTACTTTTTCGAGCTATGTCATTAGCTGTAACGTCTTTGTTCGGACACAAGGGGGCGCAAGAAAATCACATTCAATTACTGAAAATAACACTGTTTGGTTAACAAATAAGCTTTTCTTCTCAGTAGTCGATTAACTAATTTAATTCTGGCGAACTCTCTCGATAATGTTAGCCACTATTTTACCTCCAGGAGTGTTTTTTTAATAATAAAATGGGATCCCAGTCGTCGTCAGTTAACAGAGGACATTTGACGTAAAAAAAAAAGCCGTTATAAATCTACATTCCATCATCACCAAAGCAACCAAATGCACAGATAACTGCGCGAGGAATGGATTCTTGACGCCTGTGGTTTAAAGCTGTAGACTGCGGCTCCGGCGCTGCGCATGCGTGTTGCTGACGTCGGTTTGTGTGCGTGTGTACACGCGAGTGTCTATGTGTGAATGAGACAGCAGAGGTTGTGTATTGCTGCTGATGAGAGAGAGAGAGACATATTACTGAAAGATCATTCTTCGACTAAAAAAAAAACAAGACCTCACGAGCTCATCTTAAATCTCGGATTTCAGATTAACGGATAAATCGCCGCCGAAGGATTTGTGGGATTATCGGGGGTCTCGAGCTGATTTTATCCTCGCTAACAGGCTAATAACAAGCGCAGGTGGATGACTCGTAAGACTCGACCTGGATGTTGGCCTGTTTAAGGATAAACTGAAGAATAAATCACCTAGCACCAAATCAAATTAAGGGATTAAATCAACTCTGACGGTGGACCAGAAACATATCAAGGGTCTTATTTTAACTGGAAATCAAAATGAGAGGGGGTCGTTTGGGCCAGCTAGTCGGCCATTGGGTTTACCTCAGTTGTGGAGGATGCTGATGCTAAACGCGCTAGATCAATCTATTAATTAATGGTTTTCTTTTTGTTTCTTCAGTCTGACAACACAATGACAGCTGTTTAAAACACAGCGTGTTGTATTAACATTAAACATTGCATATATGTTAAGCTTTACTCTCAGATTGTGAGACAACCTAGTTTATCTGAGTAAAATGATTGAATACACTGCCCCATAAAAGGATTAATTGTTTACAGAGTGTTATACATTGCAACCAGACTTTAATACTTAGTCGTTATTCCAGGGAAGTGTCAAACCATTAATATAACCTTATAAATGATTTTCTTATGAGGCAGGCTCAGTTTTTTAACATTAGGAAGTTGAAGGCTAACAAAAATTTGGATGTGCAGTTTGATATAGCTCTCTATTTTATGTAGTTTCCTGTATTCTCTTATACATGTACATATTCTAAGATTGTATTTTTCATTATGAATTTCTGAGTTTTTTTATGGACGGCAATCTTAAATACTGCAGTAATCCTGTTATTATGTGTTGATTGGGATGTGGATCAACACACTTTGAGAAGTCTTATGTTAAATGGATTAGATTTGAATTTGTATGCAGAACAGGGAAACAGGGCCAACCTTTTTTTTCATGGAGAGGTTTGCATATCGGAAAAAATATCTCTGCCTACATGGAGCTGTGTTACGCAGTGAAACATTATCCTTGTGTCCGCAAAAGTAAACAGTAGTTGATCATTTACAGGGAGGTGGACGCTTACGCATGGGTCTCGACAAGGATATTTCTTTTGGTGCGTATGCTGGAAGAGGCCATCAATTACTTTTGAATTCCGAACATTACCTTGTGGGATCATAACAAAGGATTGGAATTTCTGGAATATTTCCATTTGTCAGAGGAGAGAACTCTTCTTTTTAATGGAGCAAGTTCTCTCCAGCCCTCAGGGGTGTTCTGAGTGGGAGGTGAGTGGGAAAGCTGAGTGGGAATCCGAACAGAATCCCCTTGGATTTCTCCTTATGGATAAAGATAACAGTTCTGTTGGTGATTCTACCAATGAAATTTTTCAGGAGAACGCGATAAACCTTGATGACTTATTTTGGGCTTCTCAGTATTCTGGGCAGACGTATTCCTGGGAAAATGATCTGGAATGTGTCTATCCCGAATGGAAGACTCCGCCTCCTCCTTCCCCAGATCTCAAAGGAGAGGGTTCTCCTGGAAGTTTGGAAATTGTGGATGGAGATCTCATCAGTTTTAATTCTAGATCGACTAGTCCTACGTTCTCAAACTTACCCATGCAGAATCAAAACAACTTTTACAATCCTCCTGAACAGGTGCCTGAATTCCTGCAACCGGTGAAGGTTACTGCCACTTTAAACCCTCTAGATGTGTACACAGGTGAGCTGGTTATTAACAACCCCACTATTCAGACTGACAAAACACTATTACAAGAAACTCACCTCAATCTTGAGGACACGCATTTAACAAACTGTGAGTTCAACCATAATTCCCTAGAGGAAAGAACATTTGAAGACAGTCAGAGCTTCCTTTCACACGGGACTTATTTCACTCAGTTATCTGAAGGTTTGTTGCCTGTTTCTCCCGCGGAGGTGTCGTGTGTGGATACAAACTCAAATCCCAAGCCTTCAATTATTTGTCAGGCACCTCCTTCTACATCTGAAGACATCCACCTTCCATCCTCAGCCATTTCCCATGAGCCCATCCCTCCGATGTCATGTTCAGATCCACCTGGCTCACCATATGCACCCCTTCAAATGGATGAGGGACAGCTGTTGTTACCCGAGCTGCTGACTGGAGGTCTGTACTCTGAACAGGAGAGTAGTAAACCCTCAGCTAGCAATGAGACCCATGACGATGATCTTCAGAGCCAAGAGACAACAGGCGCTAACATAGAAACAACACAACTATCCTCTGAAGCAGAGACTGCCTGTTGGAGTCCATTAGGTGAGTCTTGCATATCACCTAAACTTTGTGAAGAAACGTTGCGTGATTTATCCGCAGAATGCACATTTGGTGTCCAATTGGAAACGGTTGGTGAAGAGGTAAGAGAGGAGGCTGTGTCCAGCTCTTTAACTGATAACGTTGTTTCTGAAGCTAAAACAGAACTCACACCAATTGCTTTTATAGATTTACAAGCAGAAGATCCTTCAACTGATAGCCTGCTTGACAAAGACAGACAAGAGTCCACATTAGCCTTACCGGTCCACACACCTAAGCATAATGCCTTACTTGAGCTCTCACCAGAAGATGACATCTTACCTGAGGATCACAGCCAGCCCACTCACTCAACTGAGGCTGAAGCCTTATCTGAGGTGCTCCATGATGGATATGGAGACCTTATTCCTGTTGCCATGTTTGAGATCTTAACAGACAGCGTCTCTTGTGAAGCTGCACCATCTTTAGACGTTGTAATACCATCTGTGACAGATGCCTTTGAGCTAACAGATCAGGAAAAATGTGATGCAGACTCGCCTGATCTTGAACCTGATGCACTCACACTTGAAATTCAGGATAGTATAGCAAGTGTAGAAACAGGCAACCCAGACGATGACCATGAGGCAATGGAAAAGCATGATACAACAGAGGACACAGGCACACTCAACGTTTTGGAGACCTCAGATTTGCATAAAAACCCAGAGGCAACCAATCTGAAAAACAAGTCGGACAACTTGCAAAATGATTATTTAAATCTAGATAGCAGTAAATCTGACAACAATCAAGAACTAAATGCAACAATTGAAGCCTGTCAGGAACAAATCAATGCTCAACATAAAGAGAGTGCACTTGTGGAAAATCTCACACTTGTTGACCAACTGAATGACTCTTTGACTCCAAAATCAAGTGCAATTGTAATAGATACACCTGAAGAAAATGTGACAGCTCACCGTGACAGTCATAATACACCATTGAAAGTCAAAGAGAAACTTCAAAGTATGTCTTTACAGGGAGGGGAGGGATTGGATTGCAGAATTTCTACTCGGAGTGAAGTCATTCTTCATTGTGCCAGTAATCCTGATTCTTTAGAGTCCACTCCCTTTACCTGTGCGGTTGATCAGCTGACTCTGATGGATGGACTTTCGGGGCCGGATCTTACAGACAACACAGAAACTCACAGCCAATTATGTGAAGCTACAGGAGAGGGAGAGGTGGGGTTTGCTGCTCAGTTTACACATCAGGAGGATTTCCATCAGCTGACACCATCACCAATAGACCTGGCACTAGAGCAACAAGTGAGCTCAGTCTCCCCCAGTTCTCCTCCCTTGCATAGAAATGTCTTTCCCTGCGGATCCAGCCTAGATGGGGAGGCCTACCTGACCTTGATGGAAAATACTCCTGATACTTCCAACATTTCCAAACATGCAGAAATGACTCTGGATTTGTGCAAGGCCTCAGACTCCCTGCCAACCCAATCGCTTCATGACCAGAGGGTCCCCGTGGATTTGATAAACGTGCCTATAGTTTCCACAACAGCCCATAGAAGCGAGGAGCAGTCGGCTCTCCGAGCAGTTTTCCAGGCTTTGGATCAGGACGGAGATGGATTTGTCCATATTGAGGAGTTTATCGAGTTCGCAAAGGCGTATGGAGCTGAACAGGTCAGTTTTTGGTGTATCTTTGTCTATTTGTGGGTGTGCATAAATGGTGGGTGGGGGTGTAAATGTTATAAAAATGCTTTATGATTACAGGACAGTGTGTGTCTTCCCTTGGGTCCCAAAGCACCAATTGAAACTTGATCGTGGTGACACCCAAGAACTGCTCTTTTATTATTCAAACCCTCAAAGACTCAGAATACAACTCTTGTCCTGTATCTCTCACTCTTTCTCTCATGGAGTCTATCCTGTTTTAACTATTAGCTGTTTTGCAGAAGTTTTAACAAAGTGTTAATAGCCTACACTTTTCAGTGACTTGTAATAATCACTCAAACTTCATACCCAAGTTTAGCAACTTTTCAGGTGTTTTTCTTTTAGCTTTTTTATGTTTAATTACATCGTGACTTTGTTATTGCTATATTTTAACTTGAACAAAAACTGTTTAAAGGAATATTACATATTTAAAACCAGCTAAGCTCAATTGACAATATTTTGATTGTCCTATGTTATTTCTTAATTAAAAAAGAGCAAAAATTTAGGTTACGTTGAGGCATTTCCAATTTAAATTTTAAAAGCAGAAATGTGAAGCTTATAGTTTTTTTCATTTATTTTAAAAGGTGGCTGTTTGAGCTTTCAAACAGTTTAAATCATAGTTTTTACAGAGATTGTATTTAAAGTTATACTTTTGGGTATAACTTTGCATAGAAATAGTTTTCAAATTTTTTATTTTTTACACTGAAATCATGTTAAAACTCGTATTTTTTGTGGCTATACTTTTGAAACAGAGAATATTGCAATATTTATTAATTTTCCCCATTCACTTCCATTTTAAGTGTCACAATATTTTCTTATTTTAAAGAAAAAGTGGCAGTTTTTGTTATTATTATCGATATTAAGTCACAGGTTCTGTCGATTGTGCTTTATTCTGTACTAAAACAGGAATATTACTTTTAGGTCGCTGAGTAGAAAGAAAAACAGTTTAATTGAGTTTGGATGTCACCTCATTGACACCTAAACTGAAGCTAAATCAATAATAGTTATATTATGGAATGTATAAATTGGTTTGTGATACGAGTTCTTTGAACAATATAGGATGTTCTTTACTGTTAGTAGTGTTAATGATGTTGCACACTAATGTTTATAGATGGGCTTCATGTGTGTGCATATCAGTAGACGAGTGATGCTGTATGCATTTAATATTTAAACTGCTTTTCAGACGTATAACGTCAAGCACTGATTGTACCAATTTGAAAATCCCTCTGGTTATTTTTGCCATTTAGATCAGAATAGATTTGCGTTTCCCTTTAACTCCTGATCCCCCAGACACGCGCCATTGTGCGTTTAAGAGAGGATGGATTTGATGCCGGAAGTCTGTATCTTTTGTGACTGTTAAAACTGCTGATCCGATCAGCTGAAAGGTTAAACGGCCAGATGCATGACAGGGAGGGGTGCATGTACAAATGTCATTGTTATTCATCTTTTCTCAGATGCACCTTGCACTGTACATATTTAAAGTTACATATGACTTATGTATGAAAGTTTCTCAGACTTATTTTTTAATGAGCTTGTGACCGTGTGATGCAGGTTTAAAATTGAACTCCCCTGTTATGTGAAAAGCATCACACAATTGCTACAGTAAGCAAGTTTGCGTGTTCTTTATAAGGTAGTTTATGGTTTCAGGAAGGAAATTGCATGCCATACTTCGTCCCAGCCTCAAGGGTCATTCCTTTGTCTGCGTGACTGTGATTGGACTCAAATTTTCAGATATTTCGTCTTGTGATTCGAGTGTAAATTATAAGAGCTTGCTCAGCTGGTTGGCTCACTGAGATGATTTATGACTGACGGGTTGACAGAAACTGATATGATGTTTTAAAAAAAAAAAAAAGTACTGTACACACTGGAGAGTGATTGTGTCTGTGCTTGTTATACACTATGATGTTGTTTCCATCTCGTTTTATCTTTTAATGATACTGTTGCTATGGGCTTTGCATGATGTTAGATGCAAATTCTTACCCGGAAGTAGCATTTGCCTGGAAGGAACTGTATTTGGCATCAGGTTACTGCGCAAAAATGTCCATGTGTGTGACTCAGTCCATATCTATGAGAAAGCTGCTACAGTGCATTTTAAAATGTAAGAAATGTAGAATTATGAATCTGTAATTCAACTCGTGACTCGACCAATTTTTCACGCCTTGAGTTGAGATGCTTCTGTACTGGGGTTAAAACATTTGACTCACATTACACTTACTCAGTACCTCAAGCAATCGCTTGGTTAATTAAAAGAATATTTGATAGAGGTGATAAAAAACCTGGCATCTTTAAATGATTGCTTACATGGTAGAAAATTAACTATTGATAAACTGCTAGTATTTCTGGAATGAACGATTCTGAATAGTGATGATAGATCTGGTTATATTATACAGGTTATTTTTAGTCAACTGGTTGAAGTTACTCAATTAATACTCGCTTGTTTCCCACGTGCCTGACGTGAAATGAGCCAATATCATCCAGGAGTGCATGATGATGCAGATTTTCCAGCTCATTTAGCACTGCAGTTAGTCCAACAGTTTCCTACATGGTAATTTAAACTCAAATGAATGCTTGTTCGTGTGTGAGTGTGTGTATTTGATAAGAAGATGTGTAATTTGATGCCATTCGGGCTGAAATATCACACACACAATCAGAGTTAAGTGTAGGCACCAGTTTCATGTTTTGATTTCTCATTCGGAGGTATTTGGTGTTTTTCTTCACTTGTGTTCTTTGAGAACTTTGATTTTAGAATTCACAGTTCTGCTGTTGCCTGGTTACCGACTGTGCAATTGTGTCTGTTCACTGGAGTTTAGCGTGTGTGTGTGTGTGTGTGTGTGTGTGTGTGTGTGTGTGTGTGAGAGAGAGCAAGAGAGGGAAGGAATGTGTGTTCTGTGTTTTGTCACTATATGTTAGGGATTGACAGATTTTTGTCTGTGTTTTGTTTATCCGTAAGTTACAAAAAAGATATCATAGCAATGTTTTGTTCCTAAATAGAAGGTTAGATGGATAAGAAAAAAACTAAATGAGCCCATGTCACTTTTATTGAGTATCACAAACTCTCTCTTATTCTCACTTCACATTTTTTTATTATTTTAATTTTATTTTTTTCCAGGAGAAGTTAACATCCTTACATATTAATAAAAAAATAAAAAGAAAGACTTTTAAGATGACAAATTTCTCCTATGTTTTTCATTCTTTATCTTGTGGGTGAATCAATTTATGTGTGTTTTGTTGTCAATAAATGTATGATAACATCGTTATCTCTGCTCTGTTTGTGTAAGATGAATAGTTTGCTTGTGGTTTCAGGTGAAGGATCTGACCCGGTTCTTGGATCCCAGCGGTCTGGGTGTGATCAGTTTTGAGGATTTCCACAGAGGCATCAGTGCTATCAGCAATGAAGGTACTGCCACACACACACACACACACACACACACACACACACACACACACACACACACACACACACACACACACACACACTCAAGTCGTGTTTAATCACGTTGGGAGTTTCCATTAACATCTGTTGTTCTTAATTACAGATTAATTATATAATAGACTACTAACCCAAACCATAAAAATACAACTTTTGCCATTTTCAGAATAAAAATATATTTTGAACCTTTATGCAGACTTTATTCATTTTGAGGACATCTCCAAAAGGAGTTTTTTAATATTTGGCTAGGAAATTCATCATCAGTTCTGTCCTCAAATGAATAGCCAGACACACAACAAATCTTGTTTTCTTCATGACTGAGTGATAATCTGACACTATTTGATAACGATTTATCAGATGAAAACATCTCCTGAAATACTGTGTAGAAAAACACAGTGCAAAATACTGAGTCAGAGCATCTGTGAATTACTCACAGTGAATCACGCTGCTCAATTGGGGATTTTTGAATTTCTTTTTTAAAAAAAGAGTCTCACTTCGAAGAGCTTTTACTTGCTGACAAACAAAATCCGCACAGGAGCATTAACATAGTCACTAGTACTATTTAAAATACTATCTAGTAGGTAGTAGACATAAAAAGCATTTGTATCAATATCAAATAAACATGCTTATTTCCTTAAAATGTGGTCTATGTTGGCTTCTCACTATTTTTCGAGTAGAGAGCATATACACTCCTCATCTGGCTTTCGATTGATCATGATGATGGTGGAATAGTTTGAAGCACTTTGCTTGGGTTTTCTACTGATATGACTTCAGTAATGAGGATGAGGTCATGTTTCTAATGGCGCTCTGTGTTTCACGTGTCAGATTTCACTCATCACTAATGGAGGAGTTACTGGAGCATCTACCTCTCTCAGCTTGTCAATTTGTACTCAATAGCATTTACCAGGTCATGGAAAAACATTTTTAAGGTGGAAATTATATAACGTGGTTGCTAGAAATGATGGTTTAGATATTTCCGTGGATGTGCATTTCTAAACTCTTGCTTTTATGTGTTAAATAACCAGTTGCCGTGGTGTGGTGGCAACCAACTAAATAAACAAGCATCAGTGGCGGCAAAATCACGGCACTAGGAGGCTCTACAACTGAACTTAAATGAACTAATCTGGGGTACATTTCCCGTACAAAGACGTAACTCGCTGCTTAAACACCATAGCATGATGCATCGTTGGAGAAACTAACTAGCTAGTCATGACTGTTTCCTGAAAACATAGTAACTTTGTCGCACATCCATCAATTGAAACCACATTGGTTCAACAGTATAGTCAATGACATCACTCAGGTGGCGGAGTAATAGAGAGCCTAAGCCCCTCCCCTTCCGGTCGACCACCATGGGACCTTATTTGGGAAAAATATTGTATGGTAGTCAATGGCGAGAGACAACAAATATTTTGATCTCGTTTGAATTGTGCCCTGAATTACACATATGATGTTTGTCAATTTAAAAGATACATTTTAAAGTCAAGAAAGTCGCAGTTTGATGTGAAACTGTTGAGGTATAAGACTGTGAAAATACGCAATTACAAAGACTACAAACCCCAAAGGCGCACATTTTCTCTCAATGAATAAAGCTAACTTTACTGAAGCTAACGTCTGTCATTGTTTCTATAGTCTTACGTTATAATCGTAACGTTACGCCGTCACGCCTGAGTGTTTTGTACCAGACTCAGGGCCGGATTAAGAGTTCAGAGGCCCCTGGGCACAATGTCTTGTAGGCCTCCCCTTAGGGCCAAATGTATATTTTGTCCAAGGACATTTTAATATGGCATTTACAGTTTTACTGACTTAAAAGGAACTTTGTTGCTATGCTGGAGTAAAGTTCATAAATGGTCGTTCTTTCCCATAGGATTTTGTAAAACTATGTTGGGTGGACCTCTGTGCCTCTAGGGGGGTTCGGGGGCATGCTCACCCGCAAGAAAATTTTGTACATTTTAAGGTTAAATGCATCAATCTGGTAATCTTTGAGAGGTCAAAATTAAGAGCTTCAACCCATGAACTGCTCATTGAACAAAGAAAAAGCATTGACTTGTACCAGGGCTCAAATATCTTTTTAGTTATGAGAGTCTCAGTCTACATTACATTATCAATGGTGTTTTAGGATGCCAAACAATTATTATAATAATGTAATAATGATTTATATAATTATTCCTATGACGTAAAATCCATAATATAGCCTATAAATGTACTATAAATGAAAATGAATATTTCAAAAGTATATTTTAGTCTACATTACACTATAATACAGGAAAATTTAAATACTTTGTCCTAATTTCTTCACTTGCAAGAAATAAACCCATGAGCTTTTATTTAGGAGAAAACACCAGATAACCATGCTGATCGCGTGAGCAAAGAGCGCACTTTTCTTTAAATCACCCAGCACACACAGGATGGCTATTCTTAAAGTCTTGTGCTGTTTTATAAAGGCACAAAGCCATATCATGGTTTCGATTTTAGTTCGTTGGCCAAATATAACGCTAGAGACCTTTATGTTAGGTTATACATTTTACATCTCATATGTGTTGGGAAAAGGGAGAAGAGAGAGTTCGGCAAAAGGCGGATTCGAACTCGGGTCGAGCGCATCAAAAGCTGCTTTCAAGCACTTCACGCGCTACGACCTACGCCACTGTAGCTAATCCGTGACGGGCGTCTTTTTGCTGAAAATACAGGCACTTAGTGCAAATATACGCTCCGTTATCTAAAATATTTTTTTTCTTCCCCTCGCTTTGGCCACAAGTGCGCATGGCGAACTTGCAATAAATACATTTTATCAGACCAGCCCTCGCGGCCTCGAAACACTACCGGCCCACCGGGTAAACTCCCGACTCTCCCGATTGCCACTCCGCCCCTGCTGCCCAGGGCCCCTTAGATGTCGTGGGCCCCTGGGCAAGTGCCCAGTTGCCCTAATGGTTAATCCGGCCCTGCCAGACTGCACACACACGAGCAGCGGATCTCGCTCGTTGTTTCGCTTCCCGGGAGATGTAGTTCATCGAGCGATTTTCACATAAAACTAAATGTTACTCTTCTGTTTTATGACAAACTGCGACTTTCTTGACTTTCAGAATTATCTTTTAAATTGACAAACATCATATGTGTAATTCAGGGCACAGTTCAGACGGAATAAAAAGATAAGTTGTCTCTCGCCATTGACTACCATACATATTTTTCCTGAAATAAGGTCCCATGAGCCGGAAGCGGAGGGGAGGGGCTTAGGCTACGTTCACACTGCAGGCTGAAACGACCCAATTCTGATTTTTTTTTGCCCCAATGCGACCTGTATCTGATCTTTTCATGACAGTCTGAACGACACAGATCCGATCTTTTCAAATGCGACCCAGGCCACTTGGGTATGTGGTCCAAATCCGATATGTATCCGATCTTTTGAAATGCGACTTCAATCTGAACGGCCAGGTCACATGTATCCGACCCGCACGTCATTGATATGCGACAAACGTCATAATTCTGCGTTGAAGTAGGCGGGAATTGACCGTTGAGTACTCTTCTGCGCATGCGGGTCACTTCTGGGTCATTTCACGTTCACACAGGAGATCACAAAAGGTCACATTTAATTGGAAATGTGAACGGCCTTGCAAAAAAAAAATCAAATTTAAAAAAAAAATCAGAATTGAGCATTAAAGGGATAGTTCACTTTGAAATAAATTTTTGGTATGTTTTAGCTTACCTCAAGGGCATCCAAGATGTAGGTGTCTTTGTTTCCGCAGTAGTTTCAATTTTGATATTTTTAGGTCAAACCGTTCTTGTCTGTCAGTCATATAATGCAGGTCTATGGTCACCACCTCAAAGAGCATGCACAGAGAAGTCCAAATTACACATGATTTAATGACTCGTAAATGTAAGTACACATTGATGGCCTGAGACACGAAACGAGCGGTTTGTGTGAGAAAACGAACAGTATTTATATCGTTTTTACCTCTTGTAACGCACAGACCGAAGCGCCCGCGCCCTCAGATCACTTGGACGTGGCTGTGTTTACAAGAGGTAAAAACGATATAAATACTGTTCGTTTTCTCACACAAACCGCTCGTTTCGTGTCTTAGGCCATCAATGTGTACTTACATTTACGAGTCATTAAATCAGGTTTAATTTGGACTTCTCTGTGCATGCTCTTTGAGGTGGTGACCATAGACCTGCATTATATGACTGACAGACAAGAACGGTATGACCTAAAAATATCAAAATTGAAACTACTGCGGAAACAAAGACACCTACATCTTGGATGCCCTTGAGGTAAGCTAAAACATACCAAAAATTCATTTCAAAGTGAACTATCCCTTTAAGCCCCTGCAGTGTGAACTGCAGCTCTCTATAAGGTCTACTGTCAAATCACAGGTGTTCCCTCTCCACCGGTGTACTAGAGCTTTCTAAAATCAGGCCTTTCATTCTCTTGACAAACTAAAAGAAGTAGAATGGAATTTGTATATATTTGGAATGAAAGATATAGAATGTGCTTTGTTGCTTGCTTATTTTGCTTATTTAGGTCCACATGTCATTTTAACAATAAACTATTCTTCTAACTATAGCTAGAGAGCTGTAGTTCCAACCACACAACTTTGTGTGATGCTGTTTGCGAATGTTCATTGGATCTACGGTTTCCGGAAACACAGAATCATTCATCTATTCTGGTAACGATGGAACTTACGACCATAGTTGGCTAACGATACTTTTGGGAAACACACACCTGGACCGTGTTTTTAGCTTTCTTCATAGCAAGAAACATAGATTTGGGTAAAAGGGAAATACATTAGGGAAATGTTGTACTTTTGCATGTAAATGTAACAGTTTTACAGTAGAGATCTTTTTTTTAAGAATGAGGATCTGAATTCAGACCAAAAAATATGCTTTCTTCTTTCCAACCTCTTCTCATTCATGAATATTCCAGCTAGCTGGAAAAGACTCATTACACACATTGCATAAATATAGTTTCCTGGACTCCAGACAGCCCAGATGCTCCGTGTATTCCATCCATGATGAAATATAGGCCCGGTTTCACAGACAGGGCTCAGATTAAGCCAGGATTAGGAAATTTAAGTAGCTTTTATAAACATGCCTTAGAAAAGAACATTACTGATGTGATGTGCATCTTGAGACAAAACAAAGGATCTGTGTGACATATTTTAAGATCTGTCAGCGGAAATTGCTTTTAGGTAAAACAGTTTAAACATGCATTTTAGTCTGGGACTAGACCTCAGCTTTGTCTGTGAAACCAGGAGATAAAGTGTCATAAACCTCAGTTTCTCCAAATCATGGTGATGTTGATTAACCCAGTAGTAGTTTTTTCTATATTATATACATCTATATATATATTTGCTATATATCCATTTAAACAAACAATTGTCCATCAGCCCACTGTCATAAAACTCGAAGTTTTAATAAGGAAATGCTTTTCTTAATCAGGTTCTGATCCGGACCTCTACAAGACTCATCTCAGCGCAGTGGAAGCCAGTGGACCTCCAGAGGATTATGACGAGGTAATACACATTTCTTGTGGTTATTTGGCCCGTTTTCTCCTTCCCTCTTGTCTTGATAAATATAATAAATCAGAATTTTAGGACCCCATTATTGCAGAACGGTGGAATCCAGGCCAGCACATTCCACACATTCCCCCAAAAGACTGAAAGACCACAGACAGTTGCTGAGAACATGAGAAGCAGAGCATGTGTATTGTTCTGCCACAGCACCGCCTGCTGGTTCAGTTCAGCAGCTTTTTGTTTTTTTCAAGAAGTAGCAAAACATTATTTAGCCTTTTTTAACCATATTGTTGCACAGCCTGAGCAAACGGAGGCAATAATCAAACATGCACTTTGTTTTCTCTCACATAAATTGTTTGGAAAGATTTGATAAAGTTAGCCGGTTCGTTTGGTTGGTTCATGAAACCGGTCTTTTAGTGAAATTTCTAGGTAAATGCTGTTGTTCATTACTTTTTTTTACAACTCATTTATGAAAATTAGGGTGTTTTCTAGGATTTTAGTATTTTGATTTGTTGAGATTCATGAGGTTCATTCAGAAATGTGTTTTTGTGATAGAAAGTTGTCTCATAGGTTTTTTTATTTTAAATACTGCTATTTAATGTTCAATTTATTTTTTATTTCAGTTTTACTTTTTTTGTTTTTTTTGTAATCGTGTTATTATTTTAGTTTTTCGTGATAGTAAATTATGTCTTTGATTTATCATTATATATTTATTCTCTGGGAACTTAAATATACTGAAGCTATTTTTATATTTTAGGCTAGCTCCAGTAGTTTCACTATATTAAATTATGGTTATCCTAACATGTTCCCCTCAGTTTTAATGGACCTGTCCATCATAAGCTTTAATTATATTTAAGAGTTAGCCTATAGAGTTATAGTTTCATAGTAAATTCATAAATTCTGATTACAGAAACACAAACTCTTTTCAAAAATGCATGTAACAACCTCATTATTTACAGTAATTATTTATTTTGTAAATAGAAATGTGCTACTTCGGAGTCTTGTTTTTTGCAATCTGACTTTCCTTTTCCTCATTCCGGTCTTCCCGTCACTTCGAATGAAACACACACACACACACACACACACACCTGTGTGTTTTCCTGTGGGTCATGAATGGCTGTGCTGTTTCCATGTTTGCTTTCAAAACACACTGGCCGAGGTGGTGTGTGTAGCACCTCATCCAGAGGAACAAACACACTTACACACACATATGCTTGACAATATATGGGACAGGCTGGTGATAGTTTTTTTTTATAACACACACACACACACACATTAACACATTCATCAGAACATTTGATTGTGTCAGCACACGCCGTCCTGAATAAGTGTGTGTGTGTGTTGGGTGTGAAGTGTTAATGTTTTGCTACATGGGAAGTTGGAAACAGATTGAAATGAATAACAACAATAGTCTGTGTCATAAAACCTAGTGAGCCGTCTATCTAGACATCATTTTTGGTCATCATAGGTGCACAAAAATACTAAGTAGGCAGCTCACTAGGTTTTGAGTCACAGCCACATAATATATGCACACATGCTGTTTTAGACGTGTGTTGAGATGTTCTGTTGGCACATGAGGGTAGTGTTAAATCAAAAGGGGTGTGGTTAGGGGCACAGACTCCACCCATTTATGGTCCCGGTGCCCTTCAGACTTTGTTCTTCAGTTTCCAAAGAAGCAGAGTAGGAGTAATATCTATCTCTGTTGACTCTTTCTATGTGGTGACTGTGAGAGAGACAGGAAGCGTTTGTTAGTTTTGCGGGGTTTTTTTTTTGTTTGTTGGTGAACCTGTTTTTCCCGTGTGGTGGTACTCGAGTAGGAAGGATGGTTCTGGGAATGGCCTCTCCTGTTCTAGGAGCTCCTCTCGGACTCAAACAGGTACATTTCTGAGATGCAGGTTTATGTGGATTTCTGATGGAGTTTGCTCTTTTCGAACCGATTGACCAACTGAAGGTTTGAGGTTCACTCTTGAATTTAATAATTTGATAAATTTCATCATAATATCTGGGATGTTAATCCAGTTTTTTGGCTGCTGTGTATAGTATAAAAGATAAAATGGATAAAATATCCATAATATAAAATAGGAAAATATAAACTGAAGAACATGGGTTTGCATTCTGTTTTTATTTGTAACTTTTCCATTCTTATTGAGTTTTCAAGAAAGTTTTACATAGTGTAAACTGAAGGAAAAATGGTAAATAAACAGTAGATCAAGGTCTGTTTTTTTTTTATTGTTACATATTTTTCAAGAGAAAAATGTTTTACATTTAAAAAAGGAAAGAAAAATAAACTAGAACATGGGTTGAACAATAAGTTTTACAGTTTTCCACGTTGTTATTGTATTTTTTTTTGTGCTTTTTTTTTTGTTCCTAGATCTTTGTAATGTACCAACTGTCATTATTATTATAATTTGTACGGCTGTATTATAGGCAGGATTCTATAATACACTACATGAAATTTTGTAAATAGTCACGTTAGACAAGATGCATCTTCAAGGAACATACAAACCATTGCTGTTATGTTTTGCTGAGTTTGCATGTCTTTTGAGGTTCTTTTAAAGTTTAAAACCTTTGTTTTAGTGCAGTGGATGATTGACAGGTGAGTAGACGGTCCTTCACTGTTATCTGGAAAGCATCGGGATGGATTGGCATTTACACAACAAATGCATTGCTGTCACATGTTTTCAACCACTTCTGAACACGTCTGATCATATTGTTTCTTAAACATTCATCACAAACATTAATAACCTTCACGCCCTTGTGTGTTTGCTTGTTGGTGCTTATAAATAGCATGAGCAGGTAGAATGGACAAATCTCAATATGAACTCAAACATTTCTATCCACATTCATTTTGTAGGTTTATACTCGTAGTGTGTCAATTATTGATTCAATCTGGGGTTTTTGGGGGGGAGAAACCTCATACCCAAGAACACCATTATGTCTCCAACTTCGTAGCAATAAAGGTTTTGTAATCAGTGTGTTTGTTTGCAGCAGGCGGAGGTCTCTGACAGTGCGTATCTCGGCTCTGAGAGCGCCTACAGTGAGTGTGAAACCTTCACGGACGAGGACACGACGGCTCTGGTCCATCCAGAACTGCATGAGGACGTGGAAACTGACAGCGGCATTGAAAACACACTCACAGATGGAGACGACCGCAACAGGTAACGCACCCATACGCAGCTGTCAAATAACATGCAGCAAGAGACTGGGTTCATAAATCACTCAAACTTACCCATAGATGCAGTTGTTGTTATTGTTAAGTAAAACTAAAAAGTAAATAGACATAAAGTGTAAATAAGCATATATTATACACACACACACACACCTGGGCAAAAAAAGGGGCCAAGCTAAAAATGGCAAAATATTGAGTGTATTTTAGTCTCTTAAAGGTGCCCTAGAATGTTTTTTATTATTATTTTATAATGTTTCCTGGGTTACCCTTATAATGTTAGTATGTTTTTTAGATAAAAAATAATCATAATTTAGAAATAAATGGCATTTTTCCTAGCCTGCTTTTAGCCTCTGATTTGAACACTCTGTTTGAAGGGGCGTGTCTCTGTGGGATTCAGTGTAACTGCGGCCACTGCTGTGATTGGCTGTGGGATTCAGTGTAACTGCGGCCACTGCTGTGATTGGCTGTGGGATTCAGTGTAACTGCGGCCACTGCTGTGATTGGCTGTGGGATTCAGTGTAACTGCGGCCACTGCTGTGATTGGCTGTGGGATTCAGTGTAACTGCGGCCACTGCTGTGATTGGCTGACATGCTTGCATATGAAATAGCAACGCATTACATGTGAAACTCTCTCCCGAATACTTTTACTACTGCTATTATACGTTTTTACTATAACAGCTATCGAGATTAACGAATCGTGAGATGTTTTTAAAGTATTTAGATCTATTCCCATCACATAAAATGTTGCCGTGATGAGCATTGAGCAGATGACAGTGTGTTGATCGCGAGAATGAAGATCTTATCATTGCAAAGCAGTTTCTGCACTCTCTCTGCTTTCACCAATGCAAACACGATGATGTAAATACAGTAAGAGCTTCGTTGTGCAGTAACGTGCGTCATTGATTTCATAACGAGTTTGGCAAGTGTCCAGATAAACTCGCGCTGTGTGGAAAGATTGTTCTTTGATCGCTTTCTGTATATAATTTGTTCACAAATTAAATACGATTATTTTCATCCTACTAAAAGAAACGATGTGAAGCTGATATTTTAGTCACTGGCTTGACTTACTGATGCATAAACAGTATTGAACGATTTTGAGAGAAAGATTACCTGTCTGAACTTGAACAATTACACATCAGAAAGTGTTGCTTGGTAGCTCGATCCGAGGCCAGCTCTGTATTGGCCCAAGTTGAGGAAACAGTCGGTGAAATGTTGGGAAATTTCCAGAGAAAATAAAATTAACCCATTGTTTCTCCAGAGGCTCAGATGAAGGAACTAAAAAATACTTTTGTGTTCATGTGTACATCCACACAGAGCAACTGCCATGCTTCGGCTGCGCAGTTCCGCCTGGCATTGAACATGGGCTGGCATTATGCAAATATTTGGAGGCGTACATATTAATGATCCCGACTATTGCGTCACAGTCGGTATTGTGTGGAGAACCGACCGTTTTTCAGGGGTGTTTTTCATAAACGTGAATTAAATGAGAACGCGAAAACAGTCCAGTTTGAGATTCACTCTATGTCATGTCCATGCACTGAACTCTTGTTATTTGACTATACCAAGGTAAATTCAATTTTGAACTATAGGTCACCTTTAATGCCATTTTAAGCACAAATCACTGGTCAGGAAATTAGCAAGAATAGCTTTTTACAGGAAGAGTCAGTGTTGTTCCTCTCAATGTTAATGGCTTCTATATAAACTGTAATAGTATATAAATAGTACTAAAATCACTCTGCATAAACATCATAACTTTATGGATAATGGTGACTGTAAACCATGACGGTTTAGTAGCCTTGAATGAATCCGCAATAATCTTACCAAATAAAACAACTTCCTGATACAGTGTATATCCACTCAGGACTCGGTGTTCTCTACAACAACACCGTCTGGTGTTTAGCTTTTTGTAGTCTTATGACGCAAGCATCACGAAAACAATTTTAATGCCACACAAGTGTTAAGCAAAGGTGACTGGCTAAATATTTGTTTCCGTCTTAATTTTTGACGTTTTATTGCATTGCGTTTGTCCCAAGTTTTGTGCAATGAAATTGTGAAGTGCTCACACAAGTAAGGCCTGTTTATTTGTGTTTATGCAAGAATCTGCTGACTGGAGTTTTTTTCCCCCAAGAGCCGTTAACTTCAGGTCAGCTGACCGAGGTGTTCCTGTTTCCCGTGTTATCGGTGTCAGTCTTTATTTTCCTGTTTCCCAGTTGGAGGAAGTGTGGAGTTTGCTCTTTCTGCCTTTCTGCTGCCCAAAGTTTATCCATCTTTCACTCTCTAGGGTCTGTTTCTCTCTCGCTCTCTTACTTGCTTCTGTCATTGTAAAATATCCTGGCTCGCAGCCCTCGTGTGTTTCTCTTGATTTAGCATTCCTGTCGTGTCAGGGTCACGCCGTCTCGCCAGCGCTGACTCTTCCGAAACTCACGTACAGAGTTGTGTAAAAATGTTGTATATCTTCTAATTTTACTATAACTTGCAAATTTTTCAGATGTCAAAACTTTGCATTTGGGGTTTATTCAGATCCCTAAGATTAGCCTTAGTTAACCAATTTTTGTTTTGTTGCATTATTAATAATTTATATGTCCTGACGTGTTTCTGTGTTTAATGTGTTCGAGTGTCAGCCGGACGACGTAAGTTCTTGCATATGGAGATTAAACTGATTAAACAGATGCTTGTTCTTATAGAGCATGCTAGCACACACACTGGGTCACCGTTACTGAGCTCTAAATCTGATTAGACGCACACACACCGCCACACAGCCGTATGATTTAAGCATATGTAGTTTTGCTTACACAAGAGATTTTGGCTGTTAATTCAGATTTAGCGGGTCACAAACGTGTGGGAGGAATGACCGGCTAATTTAACTCTACAGGCGAAACTACTTGTAAATAGAGTTTAATATCGATTGTGGGAGTTTAGTTTGCTCTGACACGCTGTGTGCCCAGTTGCTCAGAATCACCAAAGAAAGGCCGAATCGCTTTAAGATGCGGTCGCCGTCTTCACGCGTGCTTTGTGTGACCAACCGCAATGTTACAGTGAAGCGAGGGTAAGCCTTTGAGGGATTTATTGTAGGATATAAAGTTTAATACATTACAATTTTCTTGTTAATTTGACTTTTTTTAATTGTGTGTTAATGTGTATATCCTTCATTTATCTTATTTCTTAAAATTTTCTAAAATTTGGGGTCAGAAAGATTTTTTTATTCAGAAAGGCTGTATTTATTTAATCAAGAATACAGTAAAAAGTATTGTAAAATATGATTACAATTTAAATAACTGTTTTCTATTTTATTTTGAAATATAATTTATTATTGTGATCAAAGCTGAATTTTCAGCATCATTACTCCAGTCTTCAGTGTCACATGATCCTTCAGAAATCATTTTAATATGCTGATTTGCTGCTCAAGAAACATTTATTATTATTATCAATGTTGAAAATGTTGTTTTTTCAGAATTCTTTGATGAATACAAAGTTTAAAAGAACAGTAATTATTCGAAATAGAAATATTTTGTAACATTGTAAATGTCTTTACTGTCTCTTTTAATCAATTTAATGCCTCCTTATTCAATAAAAGTATTCATTTCTTTTTTTTGTTTTAAATCTTTTTGAGCCTAAACAGTGCGGTCACTGAGTTCACCAATCAAACGCATGCACTGGGCTGTCTCTCAAGAAACCAGTGCTGTTTTTGTGTGAATTGTTTAATGATTTACGCTGTTCTTTCATTTAATCTAACTGGAATTCTTCAGACGTTTTTAGGGTTGCCAAGAGATTAAAGTGAATTATCAGATTATCATCCTAAAGACAAACTGTTCAAATTCTGTCTCGCACACAAAAACACTAATAACAAGTTGTTTGAACAAACAAGAAGACATTAAACAAACAGTCAAACTGTTTAAATAATAAAGATATTAAAGACATTATAAATATGATGTGGTAAAGTTTTATGATTTCTCTTTAAGACTCAAGAAAGTAATACTCAAGTAGTACTTAAAATTGAACAAAAAATTAAGATCATAGTGATGAAAAAATGAGCAGCAAATCAGCATAAAAGCTGAAAATTCAGCTTTGATCACAGAAATAAATTACATTTTAAAATATATTAAAATCAAAAAACTGTTTTTATAAATTGTAATAATATTTCACAATATTACAGTTTTACTGTATTTCTGATTAAATAAATTCAGCCTTGTTGAGATGAGACTTCTTTCATTTAAACCAGGGGTTCTCAAAGTTTTGATAGGTGAGGGCCAATTTAGGAACCCAACATTGAACTGAGGGGCGCTAAAGTGGCGGGGGAGAAAACGAAGAAAAAAAAACTGAAAAGAAAATCCCATTTGAAATTATTTTAATGACCAGGTTGCATCTCTACAGTTTACATTAGTTGCAATAAACACATTTTAATTCATAACTGAGGCTAAACCTGGCAAAACTTGTGAAAATTTTTGGGGGGAGAGAAAGAAACTTTTAAAATAGAAGCTTACCAAACAAGTCATCATCATCATTCATTTCTATCATTGCTTGTCAGTCGCGTTTCCATTATTGCAGATTTGCATATTATTATCTATATTTTTTAACCCGTAACTGAAAAACGAAAAATGAACGGTTGTTGTCTTTTTAAAACGCAAAGTTGAACAAAATTTTAATTTGAACTGGCTTCACCAACTGCTGCGCAAAAAAAGTAAATATCGACAGACTTTTTCAGATTTTTTTTTAAATTAGCCTACTTTCTGCCCCTTTATTAAACATTTTAAATATTCACAAATTAATATGGAAAACATGTCGATTTTACTGGTTTTCTAAGGCCAAATTAGAACCTGGAATTTATATTTTTCCCGCAGTGATGAATGAGAAGAGCCATATAGCCTGTACGTGTCTGATCTAGCCTGATTTATAGGTGAGTTATAGGCTAATGATAATAAATGCGTCTGAAAAAACAGCGAGGCATTTTAATTGTTTATTAATAAACTATTGTTTTCTAAGTGTCGGCTAAAAACATATCTCCATCTCCGCTGTTAAGCAGATGCGCTTTTAGAGAGAAATCCACCTTTCATACGGATTACATAATCAGGTATTTGCTTTCGATTCGAGTTTGTTTGTTTAAAAGTGCACATTTTAAGCTTTAGCCTACATAGGCTATATTTTGTTTCAGTTCTCGCGCTCCAGTTCACGGAGATCATGAAAGCGCGTAGCCTACTGATTGTTTTATTTTATTTTACAAAAGCACGTTTTCTTGTTATGAGTTTACACAAATAAAAGTAGTTGCGAATAATGCATTATTATTTTCTGTATGACCAGAAATGATAGACTAGTTTAAGTTGTTTCCACTGTTGATAGGAAAATGCAAGTGTTCGCGCCCGCGAACATTTTGAAAGGTAGGCCTAATGGAAACGCGGCTATTGACATTGTTAAGATTATTATTAAGTCACATTGAATATTGATTACTTGGTCAACATACCATTTTAAATTGCAATGGGATTTGTGGTGCTGGTTTCGGTTGGCCACGATTCCTATTCCTGTGTAGACAACCACTGTTCCTGGTGGCCTTGGGAGTGAGGTCAAGTGCGATCGGTCGGTCGGACCATGTAATTACCGCTTATGCCTATGGATGCCGCTAAACACCACTAAACGGAGATATTCATTTTTTCAAAGCAATAGTTTTAACAGTTTTACAGATGTTATCGCGGGCCGCCAGAAATGTTTCGGCGGGCCGCCATTGGCCCGCGGGCCGCACTTTGAGAACCTATGATTTAAACAATAAAAAATTCTTAACGACCCCAAACTTTTGAACGGTAGTTTATATCTATATGTTTATTTTTTATGTTAAATTAATGTTTTATTCACAAAAAGAAGTGAATCTTTCATGTCCAGGCGGAATTAAACATTAAACATCCTTATTAAAAATAAAATATTAGCCTGGTATTTTTCACGGTGTTTAATTAAATATGCACAGATAACATTATTTTCCATGTGCTTCTGTGATAGGTTCACACTGGGCTCAGATTTGAATGGTCACACCGTGGTGGCTGTGATTGGAGGAGAGGAGGAGCACTTTGAGGATTTCGGTGAGAGTAACAACGCTTCAGACCTTCTGCTGGCCAATCAGGAAGAGGGAAGGGTGGGGCCAGATGGGGAGGGAGATGAAGAGCCCCTCCCACACTCAGAAAGCCCACTGCCCCGCCCAATAATGCTCCTGTCACCCAGGTAACACATACAAACAAACATACTAGATTATTAAAAGCATAAGTTTCACATACTTCTGAAGAATTGTATAGTTTTTTACACTCCATATATTTAGAAGACTGATGTATCCTGAGGTAAACTTGTCAAGTATAACCAGAGGTACTCTAGTGTTTATCTGGGCTTTACTGAATGAGCACCTTGACTGCAGACACAAATAGAAATACATTCTATTTCTAGTTTCCACACAGTGAGAAAGAGAATGTGAGTCAGCAGCACATTGTGTAAGCCGAAAGTCGTGTGCATAATGAGACCTTGTAGAGCGACATCCTGACCACAGACGACAAAGAGTGTGTGTGTGTCTTGAGATGTTATGATGTATGTGGTAAATGGTAAATTGGCATGATTTTGTGCTGACTGATTCATTATCTCCCTAGTGAGCTATTATTATCGCCGGGGAAAGGTCGAGTTACTGAGGTTATTGTTTTACTGCAGTGCTGGTGTTGTCAGGCGTATGAGGTCAAGCACACACACTCATACACTAGAGAAAAGAGCATGGAGACACGATACACTTTCAAACCTGTTGAGATAAACACACACCGCTCCTGCTGCGTTACTCCTGCACTGTAGTACACACCTCTCCTGCCCTTCACCGGCTCAACTGAATGTTCCCCGTTTTCTCCCTTCCTCTGCTCATCCTCGTTTTTAACACACACACACACACACACACACGCTCTCCTCTCTGCATTTCTCCTCTGCTCATTTCTCCTCTGCTCATTTCTCCCATCATATCTTCTACGTTCTCCTCCTATCTCCTCTCCTCTGCTCATTTCTTCCATCATATCTTCTCTTCTAAATTCTCCACATTTTTCCTCTACTTATTTATCCCAACACATCTTCTCCTCTCTTCTAATTTCTCCTACCCTCTCCTCTCCTCTACTCGTTTCTCCCTTTTATATCTTCTACTTTCTCCTCTCGTCTGTTAATTTTTCTCATGTATCCTCTACTCGTTTCTCCCTTCGTATCTTCTCCACTCCTCATTTCTCTACTTGTGTTTTATCCTCTCCTACTAATTTCTCCTGTCAATATTTTTTCTCTCTCTTCATTTCTCCTCTGCTCTTTTTTGCACACATTTCTCCTTTTGTTTCATCTCCTCTTTTCTCCTATCCTCCTGTTTATTTCTCATCATTTCACCTTTCCTCTGCTCATATCATCATCTCACTTCATTTCTCCTCTCCTCTCATCTACTCGTTTGTCCTCTGCTCTACCCATTTCTCTTCTCTTCTACTCATTTCTCCTCCACTCTCTTTATTTCTCTTCTCCTCTGCTCATTTCTCCCGTTGTATCTCCTCCTCTCTCCTCATTTCCCTCTTCTCCTCTCCTCTGGTCTCCTCAGCCCCAGCTCTTTTCCTGCTAGTTTCCAGAGTTTCCTTCAGTCGGAGTCGCTGGAGTTTTTCTGCACTCACTGTCATAAGCAGATCAGTCGTCTGGAGGATCTGTCCACGCGACTGCAGTTACTAGAGATGAATAGGTAACGCGCTCACAGCGTGTGCATGCCTCCCTTGCGTGTGTTGAATTTGACCACTACACACACACACACACACACACACTCACTTTCTGCATGTGTGTGCTTCATTAATATGCAGACATCTATTTCAAAGCTCAGTGTTTGTACATTCTGTAAGTGAAGTGTGTGGTGAGCATAGATGCTTTCCTGTGGTGTGTGTTGTTTATGTGTGTGTATTTGATGCATGCACAATAGTCTTAACTGTTTGTGAAGTAAATATTAACAGTATAATATACAGTAGTCTACATAATTCAAATGCAAGTAAAAGAGCGTTGATAGTTGTATTGTAAGAACTCACCGGTATGCAAATTTCTGTCTGATTAAATATTCAATGTTGACTTGCATGGGTCTGTTTTTCCAAAACCACAGGAAATAAGCATTTTCCTAAATTAGGAAACATAACTTCACCAACTTTAATGAGAGTCTAGTTTATGTTAACATATTAATATATGGTGTTTTGTTCATGGAAAGTCCTGTATTTGTCCTTGGCACCAGTATGGAACAAGTCTGTTCAAAGCAGTTTCTCTGGCTTCAGACTTGCGCAACAGGAACAGAATCTCCTTTCACGCATCCATGTTACACCTCCATAAAAACAGTGTGTTTATTTCCGTGTGCTGTGAGGTCATGACCACTGAAAGAAGAGCATTGATTCAGCCTTCCACCTCCAGAAAGAGCTGACGGCCCAAACTTCAGCACTTCACTGGGTGTTTTTGACCTGTGGTTCACAGGTCATGAATGGAAAGAGAGTTTTTTCCTCTTTCCCGCTCTCTTCCTGACTCATTTCCTGTTTGTTCTCTCTTTTATAGTTCCAGCAAAAGGATGTCCAGTAAGAAAGCAGCAAGGTGAGATCCTCCCTCTAAATGCACCAGACATCAGGTTTAAGGACAAGATGAAATTGAAAACTCAAAACTTTGGCAATGTTTTTTGATCAGTCATTTTGGATGCTGGTTTGCTGGTTTTCCCAGCATTCAACTAGATTAACCAACAAAAACCATCATACTAGTCGTCTATGTTTTAAGTTTGCTGATCCACCAACTAGAAAAAGCAGCAAAAACCAGGCTGGACCAGCATGCACATTTAGCAGGGAACGTGTTAAAAATGTTGCACACGTTTAAACAGTTTTTCTGTTTTTCAGACACTTGCAGCAGTCCAGCAATCTGGATGTCATGGGAGATCTGACTCCAGACATTTTGGACCTTGCGGATCGTGACATCACAGACAAGGTTCGGAAACTAATATGAATATTTTGCCTCAAACTTGCATCCAATTTGTGTTACGTTTCTGACCCTGGTTCAAATGGTGCATTTGATGTGGACTTCTAGTTTTGTGGCTTTAGTTTGCACCGTACCTTAGTTTTGTCATCAAATGCCAACCTCACATAGCAAAAGTAAACAAAAATGTTAAAATCGTCCCTATATTCCATTTTAAAGGTTCCTAATTTTGTTTTGTAGTCTCCTACAATAGTTTTACATACATCCAAGGTCAAAAACACCTTAATTTTCCCATAATCAGCTATTCTCTCCCAGTGTCTGAAACGGGTTGATAACGGATTCAGTCTCTATAAACCCCTCCTTTCCGAGAACTTACTCTGCTCTGATTGGTCAGATGGCCCATTCTGTTGTGATTCGTCTACGGCCAATGAAAACCATGGGCGGGCGTTATGCAAATTTGTTACAAACCTACATAGGTTCATGCAGGAAGTAAGACTGGATTAATTTACAACTCGTTTCAGTCTGTTCAGAATCGGTTCTTCCTTTTGGGAGACAATAACTCGGCTATATTACACACTACATGAAAGGTAATATCCGAAAAAGCATAATAGAAGCACTTTAATAAATGGTAATATTATATTACCATGAAAAAATATGCAAAGTTAACATGTTTCCATAGATGGAATAGATAAGCAGATCGTTTTGTGAATGCAGAAGTGATTTGCATGAGGAACAAACACTGTTTGTCCTGCAGGTGTTGCTGTTGGAGAAGCGTGTGTGTGAGCTGGAGAAGGACTCGTCGGAGAGTGAAGAGCAGCATGCACGCTTGCGGCAGGAGAATCTCACTCTCGTCCACCGCGCAAACGCTCTGGAGGAACAGCTGAAGGAGCAGGAGATGCGTGCAGAGGAGACTTTACTCACATACACCCGTAAACACAGAGATGCACTGAACAAACTCCAGCGAGACAGAGACGTGGAGATCGAGAACCTCCAGGCCAGGTGAGTGCGGACAGAATGTATCATTTATGATTCATGTAGAGTGGGATTTTAAGAAGAAGGGGGGAAAAACAGGCTTGGAAGAATATGAGGGTGAGCAAATGATGACAATCCTTTGAGCCGTCTTTTTTTATGAACTCCTCCTGAGTCAAGTCACCTTCATTTATATAGCGCTTTTAACAATATAGATTGTTTCAAAGCAGCTTTACAGTGATAATAGGAAATTAAAGTAACAGAGACTGTTTTGGCTTTACAGCAGCTCTAGAATAAAGTTATTGTCCAGCTAAAGTTTGTTTTTGATTGATTAATTTCCGTTGCAAAGATCATTAGTTTCATTAGCTTACACGACACCGTTTTAACTGAAAACAGAAAACTTTTAATGTGCTCTGGCCGTTCATTTGCACGACAACCGTGTTTGGTGGCTGAGGAACTCATTAGCTCAGGTAACTTCTATTCAGTTTCTTATAACAGACATATGAAGCCATTCTGAAGACAGTTAATGATGTCTGTGTTATTTTGTCCAGCTCTTCTGTGTGTGGGTAAGATCTGTCTGCCATCTAGTGGAGGACAGCAGAAATTTGATTTGATTGCTCAAAGGAGCTCTGAGATTACTTGGCTCAGCGTTTAATACAATCCGGCTGTGTTAACAGAGACTTTTGTTTTCTCACACCCATTATTGTTTTCATTGTGCACTCTGCCCAAAAAGAAAACGTCACGGTGCATTTTTGTCTGTGTGCCTGTGTGTGTTCAGGTTGCATCAGTTGGATGAGGAGAACAGTGAGCTGAGGTCATGTGTTCCCTGTCTGAGAGCCAACATCGAGAGACTGGAGGAGGTACCCGACACACACACACACAGTCTAACACACGTCTGTAGATCACATTCAGAGATTACTTTTTTATCACTTCCTCCAAAGACGAGTGAATAAACAATAGTTATTGGCCATGAAACCAATACAAATTTGTTTTTACATCATTTTAACTCAGTATTTTTTAATCAATTTGATGCCGACCCTGCAAGGAATCATCCAAAAGATTATTTTTTAAAAATGTTTCAGGAAAAGAGGAAACTTCAAGATGAGGTGGAAGACGTCACAGATCGATTGAATGAAGAAATCGAATCTCGCAGGAAAATGTCAGACAAAATGAGCCATGAACGTCATACGAACCAGAAAGAGAAGGAGTGCACTCAGGGGGTGAGAGGTCTTCTGTTTGTCTTCATAGGTGGAGTCGTGTGTGTGTGTGTGTGTGTGTGTCTCTGTTAATGGCTTCTCTGCGTGTGTAGTTGATAGAGGACTTGAGAAAGCAGCTGGAACTCCTGCAGCTGTTTAAGTTGGAGACTGAAGCGAGAAGAGGCAGATCAGCCAGCTCCGGCCTACAGGAATACAACTCTCACATGAAAGAGAACGAACTGGAGCAGGAGATACGCAGACTCAAACAGGTAAAAACACACTCAAACGGGTAAACACACTATCAAACTGGTAAATAAAGACTTAAACAGGTAATGAAAAAACTATTCAAATGGGTAAAAGCACACTCAAAATGGTAAATACAGACTTAAAGGGATAGTTCACTTTGGAATTAATTTTTGGTATGTTTTAGCTTACCTCAAGGGCATCCAAGATGTAGGTGTCTTTGTTTCCGCAGTAGTTTCAATTTTGATATTTTTAGGTCAAACCGTTCTTGTCTGTCAGTCATATAATGCAGGTCTATGGTCACCACCTCAAAGAGCATGCACAGAGAAGTCCAAATTACACATGATTTAATGACTCGTAAATGTAAGTACACATTGATGGCGTAAGACACGAAACGAGCGGTTTGTAAACACAGCCACGTCCAAGTGATCTGATGGCGCCGGCCATTCAGTCTTTTCCGGCAAGCGCCGGAAAGCGCCGGAAGTGATCTCTCTCGCGCGTGTACGTCACTCATTGTTTACACAGAACAGAGATAGTAGGTAAGACGGCTAATTAAAATGGTACTAATTTGCGCTTATCCGGGATGTTTAAACCATCGTAAAAGAAAACAATAAAAAACTAAAAAAAACAGTTGTATGAGTGACGTACACGCGCGAGAGATCACTTCCGGCGCTTGCCGGAAAAGACCGAATCGCCGGCGCCACGTACCACAGCCACGTACTTGGACGTGGCTGTGTTTACAAGAGGTAAAAACGATATAAATACTGTTAGTTTTCTCACACAAACCGCTCGTTTCGTGTCTTACGCCATCAATGTGTACTTACATTTACGAGTCATTAAATCATGTTTAATTTGGACTTCTCTGTGCATGCTCTTTGAGGTGGTGACCATAGACCTGCATTATATGACTGACAGACAAGAACGGTTTGACCTAAAAATATCAAAATTGAAACTACTGCGGAAACAAAGACACCTACATCTTGGATGCCCTTGAGGTAAGCTAAAACATACCAAAAATTAATTTCAAAGTGAACTATACCTTTAAGCAGGTAATGAGAAACAGATTCAAACCGGTAAAAACACTCAAACAGGTAGAAACACTCTCAAAAACAGTAGGCTCAAACAGGTTATGAAAAAGATTCAAACGGGTAAAAACAGATTCAAACTGGTAAAAAACGACTCAACCTGGCTATAACAGGCTTAAACCAGTAGAAAACACACTTAAACAGGTCAAAACTCAAAAAGACTCAAACAGATTAACAGGCTCAAAAAGATAAAGACAGACTCAAACACAGATTCAAATCGGTAAAAAAAAAACATCAACAACTAAAGAACCAGGTAGATACTAACAGGTGAAAACTGACTTTAATTCAGGCTCAAACTGGTCACCACAGACTGAAATACAGACACATACAGGTAAAAACAAACTCAAACGGGTCAACACAGACTAAAACAAACAGATTAACACTTGACTCAGGCTGAAAACACAGACCCAATAGACTCAAACAAGTAAAGACAAACTCAAACAGATAAACTTAAACACACACTCCCATTAGTCAACAGACTAGATCCAAGATGGGTAAACACAGACTCAAACTCAAAAGACTCAAACAGGTAGACAGACTCAAAGTAGTCAACAGTCTAAAAAAGGAAAAGACTGAACCAAGACTGGTCTCAAACACGGGTTTGGTTCTGTGTGTGTGTGTGTGCAGGATAACCGCAGTCTGAAGGAGCAGAACGATGAGCTGAACGGACAGATCATTAATCTGAGCATCCAGGGAGCAAAGAGCCTTTTTACCGAGTCTCTCTCTGAGTCGCTCGCCGCCGAGATCAACAACGTCTCCCGCACTGAGGTCGGTATCACACACCATCATGCTCATCTCTGCTTTAAATGTGAACCCTGTGTGATATTTAATGTGTGTGTGTGTGTGTGTGCAGCTGATGGAGGCCATCCACAAACAGGAGGAGATCAACTTCCGTCTGCAAGACTACATCGACCGCATCATCGTCGCCATCATGGAGTCCAATCCTTCCATCCTGGAGGTCAAATAATCGCCATGACGACAACCTTTCCTGATTTATGAACTGACACAGGCGTATTGAATGAGTCTGGAGAGGAAGTGGAGAATACAATCACTATGTTGATCAAATGATTTAATAATCCATAGCACTGTGTGTGTGTGTGTGTGGGTGTGTGTGTGTGAGATTGGCCCTGTCTTCTGGTTCCTGTGACTTCCCAGAGTTTTGGGATTGAGGCGCCCGTTCCCTCTCTCTGTACATGTATGTTTATGATTCATAAATTGAATTTCAGTGTAAGAAACCAGTTTAAGTTACCAGTGTAATTCTGGGTAAAGCAGTCACACCGTTAGCCTATGTGAGGGACATTTGCTGACCTGAGGGTTGAGCGTGTGCGAACAATTTAACTCGTGAACGAGTTTTTGCTGAATGTTAGTTTTTTCCCTTCAAATTCTTATTTATTACGATGATGATGCGGAACGCAAAGGATCAAGCGAGACCGATCCCCACCAAGGGAGTTTGCAGTGTTGCATTGTGGGTAAGGTAATTGGTCCTGCGCGATTTCTCGCTGAGGATATTCGTCTGCCGCCTCCTTTCCTGGATTATTTCCCAAAAAACTTTGATTTTCTGTAGAAAAGACTTTCAAAACACACTGGAAATGTTCATTGCACTCTGATTTATTTTATTTTTAAGGGAAGTATTGTTTGCTATTTAAATTGTTTTAAAGAAAAACATTGTAACGCTGTTTTATCAGTGTTGGCGGGAAAAAAGAAGCGGACACTCGGAAGGGAAATCGAGCCGTTGACGGATACGAAAACCTTTAACGCGGGAAAAACCGTTGCTTCATTTCTGCATCTTAAAACACACTCTCTCTCTGATGATTTTGGATGTAAATATCAATCTAGAACGTTTGTATCTTTCGTTCTTGGAATCCTATTTTTATGGCAAGCAGGAAATGAGATTCGGTTTCATTTTGTCTTCCACTTGATTGCTTCTTTTCGTCTGTTCCAGCGCTCGACTTTCCTCTCCTCTGGGACGAGCATGTTTGATTTCCACTTCAAACCGTTTTGGAGACTTAATCCTCCTCCTTTCCTCTTTTTGGATTGTGGAAAAGCACGCTGCAGTTTATATTCTGTTTTTTTCTTTTCTCTTCTCTTCTCTCTCCGACGACTGACATATTTCGCGTTTGTTGCGGAAACTCGTCCGATCAGTTCTTCACACACGGCGATGCCGGAGAACATTTGAGGACGATTCTGCCTCTCCTGCTGTTTTCGAGCTACTGTAACCGGACATTAAAGCGCGGGAAGGAACCTTGCTTCTGTGAACTTTGGGTGCGTGTGCTTTTGCTGTTTCGGCAGAGACGATAAGGGAAGATCGGAATCCACTGCTCTTGATCTGTCTGATGTTAAACAGCTGTTGTATATGATTTAAGATATGTCCAAAGACAAACTTTCACACCTTAGGAGTTCTGCTTGCCACTTAGACTTTAAAAGACTAATAATAATTATAAATAGTTGTTAATACAAAAGAAAAATATGACTGAAGGACTCTTATAATGAAGGATACAATTGTACAAATGTTTACTCTAATTGTTGAGGTTACTGTATAAATGAGAGATATCAGTATTGTCTTCTTTTGAATGTTTTGCTTTCTTTTGAAGATGCCCCTCTAAGATGTATCTTTTACTGTACGGGGTCTTTCAAATTATTGTATATGAAGGTTAAAAGAAAAGTGAGAAAATTAGTCACCAATAAATTAAGTGCAAATAATTTCTTTGTGGCTGTTTTGGTCATTTTTTAAATGCTTCAGTTGTGTGAGCCTGTACATGCACATTAAACAAGAACAGAATAGAATGGACTGGATATACAACTTAAACATAAAGCACATAGACTAGAACATACTCAATGTATTTTTTTGTATATTTATAACAAATTAGGACTTGAACAGTTGCTTACTTTCATAAAAATCACATAAAATTCTGTTTTATTCAGTCATATTATATCATATATGAATGCTGATGCCCATCATAGAATGCACATGTATGTAGTACATACATTACACACACATACACACACACATATGACATATCATACATGCATACAGTTGTGGTAAAAAGTTTATATACACCTTGCAGAATCTATCAAATGTTAATTATTTTAACAATGTAGAGGGATCATAAAAACAGGCTACGTGTTATTTTTTATTTAGTACTGTCCTGAATAAGATATTTTACATAAAATATGTTTACATGTAGACCACATCTTATTCAGGACCGTACTAAATAAAAATAACATGCAGTTTTTATGATTCCTCTTATTTTGTAGAAATGAAAAGGGGATTATTTTGAAGTGCTATTCAGTTTTTGGGAGATCAAATATGTTTTTATAAGGATTGATTAACAATTACTATTTTATTTATATAGCACATTTAAAACAACAGCCGTTGAACGAAGTGCTTTCCAGCAAATAAGTTAAACAATATAATATAACATAAACGATTTTTTTTTTTTATGAACAATGAATTGGCACGCAACATTTATTTAAAAAATATTTATAGTCCATTTCCAACCACATATAGTCCAACCACAGTGATGTGGTTTTAAGAAGGTTAACATGCCCTGTTGCACCATCTAGTGAACTATTATGGAATAAATGGTTTCCGATAGGAACCTTTGTTCTGGCTATCTGCATCTACACGGACACGTATTAGAGCGCAATCACATGGGTTTGTCAACACGACTGATGCTGCGAGTTATTTCATATTTTGCTATATCTGAATGACTTTTAACCGTCATCAAACTGAAGGCGCTGTAACTATATATTTTATATTACATTTTGCTATTCATAAAGGGTGAATTTGGTTATTCTATATGAGGTTTGTAGTTCTGCAGCTCTGATTCTTAAGCTAATGTAAATCAATGGTTTAATCTTATTTGTTAATTTAAATGATAATTTGACATAGAGGTTAGGATGATCAGGATATAAGTCCACCTGCCAAATGCACACAGTGACATTTTGTATATTATGTTGTCAAAGTGATGCGGCATTAAACTGAACCTCGGTTCCGTGACGTCATGGGTTCCGAGGTGCGAATGCAGGCGTGCTCGTGTTTGAGGACTCTCTCCAGCTCACGAGACTCCGGGGAGATCGTGCACGCGCTGCGCACACTCACGCACTACCTGGAGGACGACGAGTTCACGCGCCTACACTACACTCGCGCGCTTCAGGTGCTGGTGAGCGCGCAGAGCTCGCACTGGTTCAACAGATCACGTGATGATGATGAGGAGATCAAGAAGCTCTGGGATGAGATCTTCCTCAGGGGTCCACCGGACCAAACACTCCTGCTTCTGCTGGACACCATCAGCTCCACAGGGTGTGTGTGTGTGAGAGAGACATCCAGATCTATCTATCTATCTATCTATCTATCTATCTATCTATCTATCTATCTATCTATCTATCTATCTATCTATCTATCTATCTATCTATCTATCTATCTAAGATATCCTTTATTATTATCCTCATTTGCATTTAAAGGGACACACAAAAACAATGCGTTTTTGCTCACCCTCAAAAAGTGACAATTTTAACATGTTATATAAAAATATCTGTGTGGTATTCTGAGCTAAAACTTCACATACACACTCTGGGGACATCAGAGACTTATTTTACATCTTGTGAAAAGGGCATTATACCACCCCTTTAAATGATATACTCATGATGTGTTCTGTCTCGTACACACAGTGAGAGTGCTGGTCTGGAGCGATGTGTGTCTGTACTGGAGAAGTTCCTCGCTGCTGGTCGTCTCCAGGTGTTGCTGTGGTCCAGATGTGAGGGAGGTGGTTCCCATGCAGACACTCCTCAGCTGAGAGAGATCATCATTGGCCACCTTGCAGCTTTACCCTCCATCACCTCCAACCATCTGCACACAAACACACCTGACGCCTTCCTGCCACAGCAGTACTACCCACTGCTGGCCGCCAGCATACTGGACACACTGGAGAAGACATGCCACGCTCTCAGAGGTATCACATGTTCAGGGCTGAGATACTTCTAAATAAAAGAAGGAACACATATTTTAATGCATCATTGCAACCACTGCATATTTTAATGCATCATTGCAACCACTGCATATTTTAATGCATCAATGCGACCACTGCATATTTTAATGCATCATTGCGACCACTGCATATTTTAATGCATCATTGCGACCACTGCATATTTTAATGCATCAATGCGACCACTGCATATTTTAATGCATTATTGCAACCACTTCATATTTTAATGCATCATTGCGACCACTGCATATTTTAATGCATCAATGCGACCACTGCATATTTTAATGCATTATTGCAACCACTTCATATTTTAATGCATCAATGCGACCACTGCATATTTTAATGCATCAATGCGACCACTGCATATTTTAATGCGTCATTGCAACCACTTCATATTTTAATGCATCATTGCGACCACTGCATATTTTAATGCATCAATGCGACCACTGCATATTTTAATGCAGGGGTCACCAACACGGTGCCCGCGGGCACCAGGTCGCCCCCAGGGACCACATGAGTCGCCCGCAGGCCTGGTCTAAAAATAGCACAACTCAGTAGTGAGCTGCGTCTGAAATGTAATTGTATTCTGTTGATATTCTTTTTCAATCACACCTGTTGCATTTATATAGCATATATTTATATATTTATATTTAAAAATGACAATATCTTCTGTTCATTATACATGAGTTTAGATAAGTTTAGGTGAACTCTGACTTACTCTAGTTCAGGGGTCCAAACGTCGCTCGCGAGCTACCAGTAACGTTAGCTCGTGGCCTGATTGGAGGTTGCTCGTCAAGGAGCCGTTCACATATCGAGTCTTTTGCGTCCTCAAGTTCGTTATTTCAAATGTAGGTGCGAGGCAAGCGCGCTCATAATTAAAGCGACGCGTTATTTTTTTCCAGGTGCAGCGAGATGAAAAAAATGCAACTATTCAGTATGCCGCAAACGTACCGCAGGTCAACCAATCAGCTTCACCCTTTCCATAACAACATTGAAAGCTCAGTCAACATGAAGGATGGGGGTGCACCCAAACACTACGGGTGTTTTTCTCTTCTCCGTAAATAAATCTTGTAGCAGAGCTACAGGAAGTGTTTTTCGGTGGTGGAAATCTATTAGCTACTAAAACTTCTTTGTCATTGTGGAGAGCGCAGTGCATGGTTGCATAGCAACGACAGACGCCACGGGAAAATCAGATCGAATTTTACTCTTAATAATAAAAGATAAGCTAATGTGCATTGTAAAAGTCAGTAATTTATCTTTTTTGGCTCATTCTTTTTATAAAAATGATTTAAAGGCTGAAATATGTGAGGTTTATATTTTTATAAAACATTTTTTGTCAAAACTTTATTTGAACTTGTACATACTTGTACAGTAGGCTAGATAACATGTTGCAAGACACTCCTTTAAAATCTAGCCATAATTTTTAATGTTATTATTTTAATGTTTATGTAAACAAAAAGTGCATATTGATGCGGATTTATTTGTTATTTGCTGGTTTTCGACATACAACTTAGTGAATTGATTTCATTGTGTAGTATTAGTACTTTTTGAACAGGAATCTGTGATTACCGTGATCATTTTGGTCACTAATGAAATTAAATTATCATGCCATTTCATATCTAGTCATGATGAACTATAAAATCAACTATAATTATGTGTTTTTACAATATAATATGCAAAGTACAATTTTCTATAAAAAAAATAATCTCTGATTCTGTTCTTTTCTCTGACATTTAAGGGTGACATAGGCATACAAAAACCCTTTTAGGTATAAAACAGTTTAGATAGTTGTTAATATGCGAGTTATGAGACATTATTTCAGAGATTTAAGTATTGTATTACATGAGTAGCTCTCGGCCACTTTCATTTTTAAAAAGTAGCTCTCAAATGAAAAAAGGTTGGAGACCCCTGTTTTAATGCATTATTGCAACCACTTCATATTTTAATTCATCATTGCGACCACTGCATATTTTAATGCATCAATGCGACCACTGCATATTTTAATGCATTATTGCAACCAGTTCATATTTTAATGCATCATTGCGACCACTGCATATTTTAATGCATCAATGCGACCACTGCATATTTTAATGCATTATTGCAACCACTTCATATTTTAATGCATCAATGCAACCACTGCATATTTTAATGCATCAATGCGAGCGACCACTTCATATTTTAATGCGTCATTGCAACCACTTCATATTTTAATGCATCATTGCGACCACTTCATATTTTAATGCGTCATTGCGACTACTGCATATTTTAATGCGTCATTGCGACTACTGCATATTTTAATGCGTCATTGCGACTACTGCATATTTTAATGCGTCATTGCGACTACTGCATATTTTAATGCATCATTGCGACCACTGCATATTTTAACGCATCATTGCAACCACTGCATATTTTAACGCATCAATGCGACTACTTCATATTTTAATGCATCATTGCGACCACTGCATATTTTAACGCATCATTGCGACCACTGCATATTTTAACGCATCATTGCAACCACTGCATATTTTAACGCATCAATGCGACCACTGCATATTTCAATGCATTATTGCAACCACTTCATATTTTAATGCATCATTGCGACCACTGCATATTTTAATGCATCAATGCGACCACTGCATATTTTAATGCATTATTGCAACCACTTCATATTTTAATGCATCAATGCGACCACTGCATATTTTAATGCATCAATGCGACCACTGCATATTTTAATGCGTCATTGCGACTACTGCATATTTTAATGCATCAATGCGACCACTGCATATTTTAATGCGTCATTGCAACCACTTCATATTTTAATGCATCATTGCGACCACTGCAGATTTTAATGCATCAATGCGACCACTGCATATTTTAATGCATTATTGCAACCACTTCATATTTTAATTCATCATTGCGACCACTGCATATTTTAATGCATCAATGCGACCACTGCATATTTTAATGCATTATTGCAACCACTTCATATTTTAATGCATCATTGCGACCACTGCATATTTTAATGCATCAATGCGACCACTGCATATTTTAATGCATTATTGCAACCACTTCATATTTTAATGCATCAAAGCGACCACTGCATATTTTAATGCATCAATGCGAGCGACCACTTCATATTTTAATGCGTCATTGCAACCTCTTCATATTTTAATGCATCATTGCGACCACTTCATATTTTAATGCGTCATTGCGACTACTGCATATTTTAATGCGTCATTGCGACTACTGCATATTTTAATGCGTCATTGCGACTACTGCATATTTTAATGCGTCATTGCGACTACTGCATATTTTAATGCATCATTGCGACCACTGCATATTTTAACGCATCATTGCAACCACTGCATATTTTAATGCATCATTGCGACCACTGCCTATTTTAACGCATCATTGCGACCACTGCATATTTTAACGCATCATTGCGACCACTGCATATTTTAACGCATCATTGCAACCACTGCATATATGAATGCATATTTGTTGTCCATCCGTCTTATTTTGCCTCACTCATGTGTATCTCTCTGGTATAGCGGGACGGGACTGCTCTCTCGGGTTTGTTGCTCAGGTGTTGGGAAAAGTGTGTATTCAAGGATACAGCTGTAAGTTTCTTTGTTTAACTTTTGTAGGTTAGCTGCACTGATTGTAGTGAAACAAATGTATTTATTTTCATATTTCCACTGAATTATGTCAACCTGCATTAGTTTCTGTGTGCATGTTTTTGTAGCTCAGATATTTGAAATACTGGCCCCCCGGCTCTCGTCTCTGACCCTCGTGGACCCGCTGTGGCAGCGTGTGACGCAGAGACTCCTGGAGAACGTTCCGGAGAGGTGCACGGAGTGTGTCATCACAGGACTCATACGCTGCCTCAGCGGGTAAGAGAGTGTGCTTGATTCCAGAGAGCAGAATGTAGTAGTTGTTTGTTTGTTTGTTAGTCGACTCTAACTCAAATGTGTGTTTCAGGGCAACTGCTGCGTCCAGGCTGATGGGAAACCTGGTGGTGACCAATAAGAAAGCTCAGTTTGTTCTCACTCATAAACTGTTATTGCAGCAGTACCAGCACCCAGTGAGTGGCAACAGAAAAGATTAAATGTCTCTAACCGCAGAACATATTATTAATAAACAAGAATGCTTCTTTCAAATCTTACAGCCTTTACTAAAAAGTAATACCTTAGTTTTTGGGCACCATCATAATATTAATATGATCCTATGTAAATACTATGGTATATGATTATGGTATTCAGTACCTTCATATTTACATCAAAGTACCATGGTATTCAGATACCATAATTTCTCAATTTTGAAAGCATAACTTAAGTTTGGGGTCGCTAAGATTTTTGCTCACCAAGGCTATATTTGTTTGATCAAAATACAGTAATATTGTGAAATATTATTACATTTCAAAATAACTGTTTTCTATTGTAATATATTTTAAAATATAATTTATTCTTGTGATCAAAGCTGAATTTTCAGCATCATTACTCCAGTCTTCAGTGTCACATGATCCTTCAGAAATCATTCTTCAGTGTCAGATTTTTTGTGGATTTTTTTTTCTTTCAGGATTCTTCGATGAATAGAAAGTTCAAAAGAACAGCATTTATTTGAAATAGAAATATTTTGTAACATTATAAATGTCACTTTTGATCAATTTAATGCATCCTTACTGAATGAAAGCGTTAATTTCTTGAAAGTAAATCTTACTGACCACAAACGTTTGAACGATAGTGTACATACAGTATGCATGAGATTAATAGGATGATCTTTATTTGCATGACATGGACATTGCACAGAATTGACATTTCTTATTCCTCCTGTCTCGCTCGGTCTCCCCGTACCCTTGATCTCAGACTCGGCTGGTAAAGTCTGTTCTTGGTTATTTGGCTCTGGATCCTGAGCGCCGGATGCTGCTTAAACAGGTGTGATGATCTACCGTGTTAGTTGTGCTAATGAGTCATTTGTGTATGAAATGCAAAAGAAGTTGCTTAAATTTATAATTGGTGTGTGTGTGTGTAGGTCCTTCGGAGTGTGTGTCAGGTGTGGTGTAACAGCAGTGCCGTGAAACACACATCTGTGGAACAGCAGCTGTACGTCAGTAAAGCTTTACTGCTGTGTGTGGCTTTACTCACCGATTCTGAAATACAAGAACTACGACAAGGTAATGCACAAGTGTTTGTAGAGCTCAAATAAAGTTGTATCCAAATTATTTACAAAGATATTTTTCCACTTACCAGACTTTTAAATGCTCCGTTCTAGTGTATTATGAGGTTTTCTGTTCAACAGAGATGCTGCAGTGCATGCTGGGAGGTGTCCAGTGTCGTCTGGATAGCAATATTGTGCGTATTCGTCGGATGGGTATGGCCGTGGGCGAGTGTCTTAGCCATAAATTAGACACACCTGGATCACAATTAAAATTTCAGGTGAGACATTTGAACTTTTAAACATGTGTTTTTTTAACAATTACTGTGTTTGAGATTGCCCCCTATTCAGTACCCTTATTCACTATTCCCTACATTACTCCACTAATATCCTCCTGAAAAAAAGTTTTTTGAATGTAGTTTTTTTTTTTCATGTCATCACACTGTTTAGAGCACAATAAACAAATGGTAAAAAAAACATATATATAAAATAACATTTTATTAATGCGTTAATGCTATGTCCTCTTTAGTGGTTGCCACGACTAAGTTGTTTAAAAAATAAAATGACATGAAATTATATGTATAGGCAAAAACAATGGGATTTTTTTTCAATCACCAATAAATTTTGGGGTTTCGGGATTTTTTCAACCAAAATTTGTATAAAGATTATTCTCAACTATGTTATGCAAGAAATAATGGAATGAATTGATACACCATTTTACTTTTTGCAATATGTGGGTAAAATGGCCATAAATTAATATTCCCATTCAATGCAATGTATCTGTATCTAATTTGCACATTAATGTGTTCTTGGAGCAACATTTAATGAAAAAATAAGTGTAATAATTGGAGTAATAATTGGCAACATTTTAATAATAATATCTAATATTTCATAGGAATATTGATGTATAATTTATTTCCATATTCACTTGTTGTGTCTCCCAGAATGCCTGATAAACATGATTTTAGTCCTGATGTCCTCTACAGTGGACACGTTTGAAATCAATGCCCTGTTCTGTAACAGAAAGTAAAAAATTTTTTTAAACCCCTTAACATTTTCCTGAGATGTTGTTTTACGAAATACAATTTGAAAAAGTAGTCCAATTTAAATTATAATTACAATATATTATCATATTTCCATAAGAATGCTACATTTGATCGCTAAATTAATGTCAGACATTTTTAAAGACCAAAGAGAAGTTGTTTTGGTGAAACCTCCAAACATTTGGTATCGCTGAAAAGTCCTGAATGGGCTCTTTACAGGACACCCAGGTTGTGTCATGTGACATGTATGATGTCAGAGAAATTCACTAAAATATAATGTCCACTACAGTGGACAAAAGTCTATTCTTGGGTCCCAGGAGGAGGTCTGTCCACTTGAAGGCGCCATCTTCTGGTCAGACAAGGGAATTCTTTTGACTCGCTACTCTCTCAGTGCATTATGGGTATTCTCTAGCCGTTAAGCGTACATCAGTTGTACACTCGTTGTTGCGGTGCATTATGGGATTAAATGAGTGCACTCGATAACATCCACTATGGTTTCGGACACCACTACAAATGACTGTCCTCTCAAATAGTGTCCTGTTTAAGGGTATAGGGGCGATTTCAGACACAGCCAATGAAAACCTCTTCTGATGATGAATTACTGATCCTTACCAAACCTGAAAGCATCTTGCTAGTTTGCAGCAAGCAAACGTTTTAGATGTGCCATTCGTTTCAACTGTGAACTTGAGATATATTAATGTTTCATTCCCTGTGTGGTTCATAGAGGCAATGAAACGTTTGGCTGTTTTCATGCTAATTAAGCTGTTGTTCTGTGTCAGTATGAGCTGGATGAGGAGATCACAGAGCTGAAGGCATTGATGGAGTCTCCATCTGTTGAGGAACATCAGCCTGATGCCTCCAGCAGGTAGAAGCACACACCTCACTTGACTATTTTCTTTACCATATTTTCTGGAATATTAGTTGAATCTGAAATGTGCTGCAGCTTATTTTCCCCTCACTCTGTCTGCAACAAATCTTATTTAACAGTATTCACAAAAGATATATACAAGCATAAATTATAGTGGCATAAGTTATAATAATAAAATCTGACTTGTATACTGATGCGACTTCTGTTTTTTTTTTTCTGACAATGCAGTTTTGACCAAGTGTCACTTATTTTCTGACATCTGTATGACTTGTAATTTGTTCCAGTCTTCAACCAGAGCCCAAAGTTCAGGGTTCAACAAGTCGGTCAGTGACATCAGAGCCGGCTCACGGGAGTGATTCTGAGCTGGACAGGTAAATGTACACTACCCTAAAAAACACATGAGAACTGCACCTTTCTCGCTAATAACATTTATCTTGAAACGACATCCCTATTCTTTTTTAAGTGATGATGATCTGACTCCATATGACATGTCAGCTGATCAGGAGAAGAAGGAATCATCTCCGCCCCGTTATGTCAGGGACTGTCTGGAAGGTGGTCTAAAATCAAAATAATTTAAAATAATTTATGTACTTTTATAGGTTTTGAATTAGATTTTATTTTTATACTTTCGGTTTTCAATTTATTTCTAGTTTAATTTTAAGTAATATTTTTTTTTTTTTTTTTTTTTTTTTTTATATTACTATTATTATTATTATTACTACTACTATTGTTCATCTATTCTGTTCATATATATATATATATATATATATATATATACACACACACACACACACACACAGTTTTAATTCACGTTTTGTCATTGTATCGGCCGTATGTTTTATTTGCAGCGTTAATGTCGTCTGATGATGCTGACAGGGTTGAACTCAGTCTGCAAGTGTTGGACTCTCTTCTTCGGAAGAACGTGAAGGCCACGCAAGAGGTCAGAGGTCATCACGGCAGACTTTTAATGACTAAAACTCTTGTGTATCTCATTACTCATTGGTTTGTCTGTGTGTATGTGGTATAGGTCAGTGTGCAGTTCAGTAAAGTGCTGCTCCACCTGGAGGACCGGTTCAACACACCACTCTTCCACTCGCTACGGCAGAACGCCATGGTGGCCCTCACTGTTACCGACATTAAACCAGTAAGACATCAGACAGATGAGTACATCAGCTCAGCTCTACATAGACGCATATGCAAGTGACCTTTTTTCCTCTCTGTAGGTTGTAGATTATTGGACGACAGAGTTCTACTCTCTCAACTACAACTTGAGACAGAGACTGGACATTCTGGAGGTCAGACTAATGTCAAAATGAATGACAACTGACATACTTTCATCCTAAAATGCCATATTTATTCATAATTCGTGTTTGCAATGATAGTTAAATGTTAGATTAGGTTAACCATTAAGGGGTTTTAATTACTGATGCTTATATCTAGAGAGCAGGACAACTGTTTCCAACATTTCTGGAGCAGCAAAACATCATATTAGAATGATTTCTGGAGGATCATGTGACACTGAAGACTGGAGTAATGATGCTGAAAATTCAGCTTTGATCACAGGAATAAATTACCTTTTAATATATATTACAATAGAAGACAGTTATTTTGAATTGTAAAAACAATATTACTGTTTTTATTGTGATGGAACAAGATTGCCAACTCTTCAGGAAATACCTGCAACCTTTGTGTTCGCATCCCTGATTCTCAACCACTAAACTAACACCTCTACTCTTCCAGGTCCTTGCTCTCTCTGCGCAGGAACTGTCTGAGCCAATCAGGAATAAGCACACTGGAGCTCAGCCAATCACTGCAGCAACAGCTATAGAGCGATGTGATGACATCACACACTGGCGGCAGATCGTGGAAAAACGGATCCAGAGCAAAACCAGACGAATTAGCAAAGTGAGACAGCCTCAGAAAGGTGCTTATTACACATCAACAGTGATTTGATGTCTAATAATGTGTTCTGTTTGTTCTGCTCAGGGTGGGACTCAACCCGTCAAAGCTGTTCCCAACTGTTACGCTCCAGTCGCTGGATTTTTCTTCTTCCCGCTGCTCAGGAACTATGACAGGTCTCTTAGTGGTGAAAACCATGTGACAATCAACTAGAATAGTGCTAAATAAACAAGCGCTTGCTTACATTATTGCAATGATTTCATGTCTCTTATAGGTCGCAGGTGACCTTTGACCTTCTGGGGAGTGATCATCTGGTGCTAGGAAGGTTGCTGCACACACTCGGGCTGCTCATGCACCTGGCCATCAATGCACCTGTAAAAGCATGCACAAACACAATATGTATTACACAATTATCCCAGTTATCATTTTGGAAATGAATGCAATTATTTAGGAAGATCAAGCACATTGCATTGTGGGATACAGTCTTCCAACATAGTATGCTATGTTAATATTCACTGCACCTTTTGGTAAATGATAGGGTTTTCCGTGCATAAAAAAGATTTGCATGCCGTGGACAGTACACATACTGAAGAAATATTATGAGCAGTGTTATAGAATGCTAATTAAAAAAATGAATGTTAGGGCTGTATAATTAATTGAAATAAAACCAATATGGCAATAAGGATTTAGAGGGATTATCAAATTGCAAGGGCTGCAACTATACAAAAATACAGTATATGCACTGCGTCTTTCAGAGTGAAGCGTGGCACTGTGTTTTACACATGAGCAGCTCATGATCCGCCCGGGTTTTCAGTGTCTCTGAGTGTGGTGTTTTTATTTAATAAAAAAATAATGTGTTTTTTTTACATTCAATCATGAAAACCTATTTTAGCAGAGCCCAAAAACAAAATCAAGACTTTGAAAAAGGGCATAATATGGTCTCTTTAAAATGCAATTTTGATCAGAAAATTGCAATTTGATTAAAAAAAAAAAAAATTATCATGCAACCCTATTATAAACGATATATCCTTGATATAATCATTGGTATCTTTTTTGTCAGGTTGCATCTCAAATGGGCAGAGCTCTGCTGGATTTTGTTTGGGTTGTGCGCTTCCACACTGACCAGTAAGTTTATGTTTCAGTATGCATTATATTATATGCATATACATGTCATCTCATGCTCTCTCTTCCTTTAACTGTAGGATGGTGAGGAGGGGTGTTATGTTTGCAGTTTGTGCTGTGTTTCTGAGCATGCCCAGTGAGAACTTGCTCACCGAGCTCGGTGACGACCTGATGGAGACCAGAGCCTGGCTAGCAGGTAGAGATTGTTTTTATGACTCTTTATGTGTGAGTATTTGCGTGTTGTTGATAAATGTGTTATTGTGCACAGATGTGGCAGAGAATGATTGTGACGCAGACTGCAGGAGTTTGGCGGTACAGAGTTTAATATTGTTGGACAAAAACCTCAAATCTCAGCTGCAGATCCCAGATACGGAAACATGACGAGTGCATCTCTACTTCTGATGCCTCAGATATATTATCACTCGTGGCAAGAGTAACAAACACACTTTGCAGAGCAACAATAGAGATGCACACTTGTCTGGAGTTGTGAAGATCTGTAAGATTTTATGATTCTGACCTGATGCATCCATAATTTATGTGGAATTGCTCTTTGGATTTCATGTACTTTGTTTTTGTACTTAATGTTTTAGTGCCTGTAAAATAAAGAACTCTTTATGGACATTAATACTTCTGCCCTCAAAAATTTTTTTTTTACATTTTGTGCTGTGCTTTTTAAGGAAAAATCTCCATAATTGCTTTATAAATGGTAAAACAGAGCTCAGATTACTACACAGATTTCTAGATCAGAAGGTCGGAGGTTCTTGCTTCCACTGAAGTTAAAAATGCTATTTGAAATATTCTCAAATCATGATTGAACACACGATCATCAGGTTTTGTTCATGTAGCTGAGCTCCTGTACTGATGGAAAAAGAAAAATAATTAGAAAAGAATGTAAAATTAAGGCATATTCAATGCTGATCTCATAATTCTAGACCCCGCAATATGAATGCAATAAGAATATGAAATGAAATTAATTTAGAAATCATTTTTACTTTAAATTCAAACCGGCTAATGTACCTCAAGAAATTGCTTGCTCTGTCATAATGATTGTATTTTTTTTTTGTTCTGTTTGTGTTTTACTTTTCTGATTGTTATTTATACATGAAATACATTAAAGGAGCTGTATGTAAGAAATTTATTTCAATTAATCATAAAATGGCCCTGATATGTCACTAGACATTAAGAAATCATGTTCATTTCAAATACTTATATCACTGACAACAGTAGTCCGGCCAGGATATTGTCCTTTAAAAAGTGAAGTTGCAGCCCTCAACTGATGTTGATGTTGACATGTTGTGTTTTGGTCTGATGCTCCTCCCTCCACCTATCTACCAATCACGAAGTCAGTAGTGTTGCGGCATCCGGGTTGCCAGCTCTGCTCTAGTTACCACAGCTGCAGCTCGTCATGTTCCTGCTGGATCCTGCAGCCGATCTGGCAACCTCGAGTCAGGGGGGAGGGGGAGGGGATACACCGCTCTACAGTAATTTGAAAGTGATTGCAGTACCAGTTTTGGCCACAATCTTACAAACAGCTCCTTTAAAATGGTAAAGTCCATCCGGATGAAGGTGGGAGTTTAAATTGTTAATTTACGTTGTTGTTGTTATTATTATTATTATAAAGGAAGGACTGTCTGTCTATGTAGTGCTCCTCAAATTTACTCTGGTGTTGCCTAACCTCCTTTATTGTTACCTAAATTCACTCTAATCATGTCTAACCTTCTCTAGTTCATATAACTGATAGCATTTTGCTCTCATGTGAAAAGCAACAGACATACAGCAGGGTCAGCAAATCCGACAACAGCGTACAGGTTACAGAAATCTGTAACTCTCCACTATTTCACACAGGACGACTTTGTTGTTACTCAAATTCACTCCGGTGATGTCTAATCTCCTGGTTACCCTAATGCCCTCCGAGTCCGACTCCGAATCACATGTGCTAAAAAAAACCATAATAACAATTAGTCATAATGCTCGCTTCACCTCATTGGCTGAGACGCAACACCGTTTAGCCCCGCCCCTTCGCGCTTCTTCCTCTTGGCGTTGTCTGGGCAACCGAAAAAGACGCTTCACGGCTAAAGGCGCGTCGTAAACCTCGAAGGGCTCATTTCATTTTTTATTGTCAAAATCATACATATGCTGCGCGGAAAACACACGGTCATAACGGCAGTGCTGAGTGCAAGAGGTCTCAGGTAAATGATTTAAACAGTCGTTATTTAAAGCGTTTTTAAAGCGGCAGGCCTCAGTGTGGATTAGCTAACACAGCTAGCGGTAGATTTACTAACATAAAACAGATGTAAACAACATTCTCCATTACATTTTGCCAATGACATTTAAAAAAGCGGAGGATATCGCCACAACAGTTTCCCCAGCTGTAGAAATACATCTTCTCTACAACTTTATCCGAGCAGCAAACCGTTAACTTTGAGTAGTCACACCTATGTAGAAATACCATGTTTTGCTCTTAGTAACATGCTAATACCATGTTTTTGGATACTACCATAAAGAAAACATATTAAGTACACGACATTACCATTTAAATACGACTGTGTATGGATGGTAAACACACAGTATGTATCAAAATACCATGGTATCATCTGATTCCTTCACTTTACCATTGTACCACCACAGTACTTTTCTATTTGGGCAGTTAGCCACACTAAACCATCTAGAGATGTAGTAGCTGTCATATTTAGGTTCTCAAGTAATATGATCAAAATCAGATGACTGCTGTAAGATGTGTTTTATGATATTAATACAGTCTAATAATTATTTGTGTAGATCTGTAAGTCATGGCTGTGTATTTTGATCATCGTGTGGAGGCCCCTGACAGCGGTGGAGCAGCGGTCCTCGTCTCATGGCACTCCAGTGTGTGTGTGCTGGCCGTGGGCTCTGTGAATGCCTCCAGCGGCGGCTGTGTGGATCTTTACCTGCAACAGGTGTGAGATGATCTCTGCACACTCTGACTGTGTGTTCATGCATTCTCTGCAATACTCACACAACTTTATCAAATGAACAATAATGTACGTTTTCAGCAATACAGTATATACACAGCTGTTTAAAGGTTTGGGTCAGTTAGGTTAGGTCAGTTGGGTCAAACACAATTTTTTTATGTTTTTGAAAGATGTAACTAGATGTATTTTATCAAAAATGTACAAAGTATTACAATTTAGATAACTGTTTTGTTAATATTTTGTAAGATGTAGTTTATTCCTTTGATCAAAGCTGAATTTTCAGCATCATTACTCCAGTCTTCAGTGTCACATGATCCTTCAGAAATCATTCTAATATGATGATTTACTGCGTCATATTTTTATTTTAATTTTTTTGCGGAAACTAATATACATTCAAAAGTTTGGGGTACATTTAAGAAATACAGTTAGGATACATTAAATTCGAAAAAGTGACAGGAAAGGCATTCATCGTGTTACAAAATATTTATTTTTTTAAATAAATGCTGTTTTTTACTTTCTATTCATCAATGAATCCTGAAAATAATAAGAAATGTTTCTTGAGCATCAAATCATCATATTAGAATGATTTCCGAAGGATCATGTGACACTGAAGACTGGAGTAATGATGCTGAAAATTCAGCTTTGATCACAGGAATAAATAACATTTTATTTAAAATTGTAATAATATTGCTGTATTTACTGTATTTTTTGATTAAATAAATGCAGTCTTGGTGAGCAGAAGAGACTTCTTTCAAAAACATGAAAAATTATTTTTTCTTAATTATTCCAAAATTTTGATCAGTAGTGTAAGTATCAATGTTTTATCATTTCAGACCTAACCTAACTAAATAAATACTTAATATTTAATAGTTAACCAGAGATTTGAATGTTTTATTTTATAATAAAGGTCCAAAATTCTTTTATGAAATATTATCAGTGATAACGTTAAGTTTTAATGTGCTCTGTAATATCGGAGTGTGTCTGTTTGTGTCATTAGGGAGAGCATGTGGAGCTGTGTCATGTGGAACGGGGATTCAGCCCTTCGTTGTTGCAGTGGCACCCGACTAAACCCCTGCTGGCGGTGGGGTGGGAGACGGGCGAGACCATTCTCCTCTCACACCCCTCCGGAGAACACACACCCCTGCCCAACAACACACACACCGCCTGCATCACAGTGCTGGAGTGGAGCAGTAACGGCAGCAGACTGGTCACGGGGGATCAGGTCACACACATTCACCTTCATTGCATGCGTATATTTAAATATATATAATGTAATAAATGCTTAAGTGAGTGTATGTTTCAGGCAGGTGTAATGGCGGTGTGGAGAGTGGACGCTAGAGGGAAACTGCAGGGATCTCCTCTGATTAAACATGACTACAGTAAACCACTGACGTGCTGCATCTTCAGACCTACAGCTCCTGCTGAGTGAGGCTCATTTAACCACATAAATATCATGAACAGTTTAGTGTCAGTAATTTTCTAGCTGGACTAGAGAGGAAGTTTTAAGTTGTATTTCAATTAAATTGCAGTTTAGTTTCCCTTGTGGAAAAAGAAGTGCACTTAAACGTGTATATTTTAAAAACTGTATTTTCCAGATAATTAATTAAATAAATTAAATAAATAAAAAGGCCACTTGAAGGGATAGTTCACCCAAAAATGAAAATTCTGTCATTAATTACTCTCCTTCATGTCGGTCCAAACCAGTAAGACTTTCGTTCATCTTCGGAACACAAATGAAGTTTGTCCCTCCGTGTACTTAAACTAAACTTAAAACTTAAACACTTTTAAAAAGTGCACTTTGTAATAATTGTCAAATGAAAAGTTTTAGTTTAAAGTACATTTTAAATAATCTTTTGTCATCCTTTAAATAAGTATACCTATTTTGATGCGTTGACTAACGTATTAAAGCACATGTAAAGTACTTGATTATAATTTTAACTGTTTTTTGATATTTAATGTAAAGTTAATATATGTTCAGTGTACTAAATTGCAACTTGATCATACAAATGTGTCATTACAAATATATTTAAATACATAACAGATAAGTTTTAATAGGAATGACATTAAAATATATTTTAGTTAACCTTAAATGCTTGTCACGTCAGTATATTCGGCAGTACACTTTAACTATATTTAAAAAATAAATAAATAGAAGTTACTATGTAATTACACATCAAGATAGACTACATAAGTGGGTCAAAAAGCCATCTAATTTTCAGCTAATTGCATTTTATATAAATGTGAACTATAATACTTTTTCTTTCAATTGCAAGTAACATGCAATTGAGTGTCTGAAAACATTACATTAAGTTCGCACTTAGGTTTCCTCTAAAGTATATATATATATATTTTTTAAGTATGCTACAGTTTACCTCTTTTTCACAAGGGTTGCTACACTGTGTATCCACTTCTTATTGTTAGTTGTAAGTATCTATCTGGTATAAGAATCCTACTGTGTGTTTTTAAATGTTTCTGTAGGGATGTGGCGACGCTGGCCCGCGCTGCTGTTAGCG